AGGAAAGGAAAGGAAAGGAAAGGAAAGGAAAGGAAAGGAAAGGAAAGGAAAGGAAAGGAAAGGAAAGGAAAGGAAAGGAAAGGAAAGGAAAAAGAGAAAAGGAGACGAGAAAAGTCAGGAAACAACTCCATATTAAAATTATTACAAGGAAAATGTCAAAAACAGCTGGAGTAGCAAAGCTGGTTTGTTGGTGCTGCTCTTTATGTTAGTTGTGCAAAGATGTGGTTTTTGTCTGAGATGTGACAGTTCAGGGAATGAACAGAGAAACAGTGAAGTGCAGCCTCCAGCAGCACAATGCCTAAGGCTGGACTTGCCTAAAATCAGGACATTACCCCATTAAAAAAAGGATAAAAAGTCACATGAAAGGTTTATTAAACCAGTGTTTATGAAAGACATTTACTTGAGAGTTTCTGATGCAGAGCTACAGATAACTTGTGTTTGAATTACAGTCAGCTATATCTGAGCAGACATTGAAAAAGAGTTTGAAGAGGAAATGAGTGTAATGTGTGAACAGTGATTTAGTGTCATGCAAAGTTGGAATGTGCTAAGTGTATGATATTTTTATCACTTTATTGAATTAATGAGTCCTTTTCCTTTTGCTTTTTCTTTATATTTTTTCTTTTTTCTTCATTTCTTTCAAATTCATCTGGAAAGCTATTTATTTGGGCTCCTTTATCCCCAAATCACAATATTTTTTAACTTTGGTCAAATCTGTGCTTCTTGTCTCTTCAGCTAGTTAGACATCATACTGCAAATGTAGAGTGAGAGTTGTAAATTACCATGAGGTCGTTCTTTGCCTGAATCTTCAGACTCCTCCCAGACCATTTTGCCTCTCCACCACAGTTACTCTTCTTTCCCTTCACATTGAAGTTGGCTTGGGCCCTCCTCCAGTTAAAGCAAATTAAAGGGAGTTGGGAAGAGCCTTTTCCCCTTCTAGCAGTTCCTTTTTCTTTTTTTTTCTTTGTTTTCTCCTTTTCTTTACTTTTTTTTTTTTGTTGTTAAACCACTCTGCTAAGTAGGTAGGCAATTGTAGTGTAAAAATTCTAGGGAGAGAGTAGGAAATGCTATTTCTCTTATGGACTTTTAGTTGGCTCATATGAAACCTCATTTATGTTTAAGCAAGACTATATTTCTTTTATAATTGTAACATGTATATATTAATTTCTCCACAGTGTTTTTGCAGATCAAAAACTAGAAAGAAATCATGGTTTGAAGCTCGAGATTTTTGCAGACAATTAGGAGGGGATCTGGCCACCATTAACACGAAGGAGGAGTCACCATTACTAATCAAAGCAATAAGGTGGGAATTTGATGTGTGCTTATTTTAGCAGATTTAAAGACTTTTCCTATGAACTATTATGAATGAGCCTAGATGATTCCCAAAACGTATGGATTCCTCAAAAGCCAAATGACCTATGATACATTAAAATTCATCTATTCAGTACTTTTTTAACCTTTTCATGGAAAAAAAAGAGTGATTTGTGTCAAAATTTGAGAAAAATTTTGAAAGACCTCCACCAGTATAGTGATTACTAGATAGAGTATATCTAGATATAGATACTATATAGATACTAGATACAGAAAATGTGATCAGTGTATCTACTGTTGAAGTAGATATGTATCTACCTTGCAGTGGTCAGTGCCGAAACCACTTTTTGAATCTGTGAAGGTTTTCCCTAAGTAAATAGCGCATTAGCGAAATACATGATCAATACTACTAATAAGTTTGATAACTAAGCTATTGACACTGAACAACAGAAATATTACATTTCTATAAAAAACATGTATATGCACTTCACCAGAGGTAATAGGGAAATTTGCAACTTCACTGCTTTTACAAAGTGCTCTAAAAAGTTCAACAATGTATTTCTGGAATTTTTTTGTGCTGATGTTTACACGCTGCTCTGCCCTGTAATTTCTTTTAGAACCACTCACTGTGGGTGGGAAGCAGTTTGGCTTGGTATATTTTCCTTGAACCCAGATGAAGGATTTGCCTGGAGTGATGGCTCTCCAGTGAGTATTTTAATTTTTCATCGTATCTCTTTGCTTAAGATACTTTGGTATTTGTACATATACTTTTTGCCTTTTTGCCTTTTTGCTGTTATCCTCATTAAAGAAAACACCAGTCCTATAAACATTCATGTAGCTGCAAATCTGTACTGTTATGACTTATATCACAGCTAAACATTTTAATACATGGAAATTATCTGTATCTCATCAGAATCTGTAGGTCTCTGTGTAACACTCCAATTTATTTTCATTTCCAAGAGGATAATATTTACACCTAACGTCAAAACATAAAAATTCATTATACTGTACCATGTATCCTGTCTCTGGTAAAAACATCTAAAGAGCTAATAAAACAGCAATCATGTTTCCCAGTATACTCCTGAATCCCCCAGTAAGTGCTGGCTCAGGGTCTTTTAGAATTGGAACTCATATCTGTAATTTTAATTTATTTATTTCTGGGACTTTATCCAATCATCTCTTGAGCCCATGCAAATATCTACAGTTGTGCAAAACATTTCTGCAGAATTCTACTCTTTATTACGCTCCATTTACTACTATACTCTATTCTTTAGGGGTTTTGTTTAACACAAGCAAGGACCTTTTATCTTATCCTGTTCACATTACTTTCCATAAAGGTTTCAGAAGGGATGTTATCAAGAATTCTTGACAATATAATAAGTAGGTTGTATCACATGGGTCTGCCCCATTTGGTGTCAGTTTCTTCAAAGGAAACTCCTCTAGATTTGTAGGATGTGACTTCCCTCCCACCTCAGGGAAGGGAAAAAATAATGCTGAATTGATGCAAAACATGGTCACCGCCACCAGAGAGGTGTTGGACAATGTAATTTTGAGCCAGGCCAGATGTGGAGTGGAAAGTACCCTGTCTGCACATGATTAGTGTGAGTGATATGAGGGTAAAGTTCATAGCTAGGCACAGCTCATTAGAAACAATTCCTTTGCCTGATTCTCTTCTGTCTGTGTCTATAGCTCAGGGCACAAACAAGAGGAAAGGATCTCCATGGCAAGACAGCCATGTCTGAACACTGACATCATTGGCTCACTCTAAAATCCTTATATCTATAGCTTTCCCTGCATTGCCAGCTCTTTTTAGCTAAAACCAGATTCTTTGAGAAAAAACAATTCGTTTCTGTTTTCCAGTGGAAAGTACATCTACCGAAACAGATGAAAAGAGTAACAAAATTGATTTCTTCTCTAGGTGAGGTACACAAACTGGGATGATAGTTCAAGGAATTCAGGACGACGCAAGTTTTGTGGCTCATTACATTATGCAAGATATTCTGAACGATGGTCTCTCTTGGTGTGCCAAGTACAGCAAAACTGGGTCTGCCAAATAAAACAAGGTAGATTTCTTCTCTTTTGGCAAGATTAAAAAGCTTTAATAAGTAGTTGCTTTCTAAGTTAAGTTACTGGAGAAAGAGACAAAATTTTGAAGAACTGTCTTTTCCAAATGGAGGTCAAGGGCATTAAGTAACATATTATGGGAAAAGATTTTTCAATTGTGGATAATAGCAATGAATTGATGGGGTTTTTATACATAAATTAGGGTGTATAAATGATCCATGTATTTGCAAGATTACAAAAATTTTTAATATTAAGAAGCTTTTGCTTTTATTTTTGTAATGTTGGAGGTAAGGAGTTTTAAGGGCTTGTATTTTATTCCTTACAATATTGGTTTTTATACTAACACAGGTGAAGCTAAAAATCAAGTATGATATATTTGTCAGATTTGTTGGTACTTCAGGATCTCCTGTAGAATTATTCAGGATTCTACTGCTTTTGGAAAAGCAATGGTTCACAGCAGTGCTATTTCTTTTCCTATCCCAACCAGAAATAAGTCACAGTCAGTATATGTGTGTATATATATCTGTATATAAATATAAATATATGTACATAAAATATATATATAGATACATGTACATAAAGTCATAAATCCTTTTGCAATGAATATTACTCAGAGAGTTCTTTTGATAGAGATATAATAAATCTAGTGGAAATTTTCTCCCTCTGTATGAAAATACTCCCAGGTGAATTATGGAATATCTACTGATGGATCAGTAAAGGAGCCATATGCCACAGTTTAAAATGCTTCAGATAAATCTACTGCAACTTACAGGCAGGAAGAGCAATTTTCCATTGCCTTGAAGGAATCTGATTCAGCCAAAGCTATGGCTTTGCTGATGTGAAGCATAGTTTATGATATAAAGTTAAAGTAGACGACTTTGCATATTGAGCAGTGTGAAGCTGAACTGTGTGGCTAAGCCTGCTTGCTAGTCAGTGGCAAAGGTGTGGAGAATCCTGCTCTGTTCCTCACTCTTCTTGCAGTCAGTCTACAAGCTACATGATAACACACTGCAGAGATGCAACATGCCTTCTATTTTCTTCTTTTGCAGGAGCGTCATTAAAACCTGAACCCATTGACACATATGGTAGGTATTTGTATATATTTATTTTTATTATTCATATTTTTTTCCCTGAAATTGTTATTCTAAAAAAACCTTTTGTGTTCTACGCATATAGAATTTAAAGGTACCTTATTTATCTTCCAGAATATAAAACCACTGCAGATGGATGGGTCATATATGAAGATAAGCTCTACTATATCAGCAAAGAACAGGTTTCCATGGAAAGAGCCCAAGAGTTTTGCAGGGAGAATTCTGCAGACCTAGCTGTTGTTAATAGTAACAGTGAGAGAAGGTTCCTAACGAGAGCACTGAAAGAAAATGTAAGATTCATTATAAACAGACAGTCTAAAGTAGAAACGCTTTTGACAATCTGCTTGTAAAACTTGAGTTGTCTCAGAAGCAAGCCATCAGCATTTTCCCTAATGAAATATCCCCAAATGCACCCTTTGATCCCGTGGGATTTGGCCTCTCCTGCTCTGTGCCTGCTGCACTGATGCAGTTGACAGGAAGATTGATGCAGGAAGGTCCCAATGCTCTTGGGAAGCAGCTGGACTTTGAGGGAGAATAAAAAAGGAATACCAGTTTCTGACTCAAAATCTGCTTCTTTTCTCCTCCCTCCTAAGGGCCTTCAGTGCTGCAGGTCTTGGCTTGGATGTCCCAGATAAAATCCTGACTTCTGTGCCTGGGCATATAAACATGATGCTGTGGTTAATTGCAAGCAGGTTCTTTTCTGCTGTGCACTTCAGTGGCTGCTCTGTGGAACTAATCAATGGTGTATCAATTTCTGCTTGTTTTGCTTCAAAGATTTATTTTTTTAATTGAAATAGTGTCTTTCTGATTTAGGAGAGCTACCAGAGAGAGCAAATAGGTTACTTCATTGGTCTAAGAGTGAGCCTTGATAAAAAGTTCAGGTAAGTTAGGATGATCAGTGCAGCTTCTAACATGTTGAAAAAATAGAATATTTTATGCAGCTGGAGGTACTGAATATGTTCTCTTGAAGGTCTGAAGACTGTTCCACATGCTATGTATAAAGCAAAATGGAATAGTCCTAAATAGTCCCAATAGTTTTGCCCAAAATTAAATAGTAAAAGAACCTTCTCTCCTTGAGTAAGCACTTAGCTAAAGAAAAGCTTAGCAGCTCTACTCTCCATACACAATTTCTCAAATTTCTTCCAGAGATTTGCTCCGTAAATTGGAGTGGTACTTCACTATGCTGAATTTTATACCTATAAATGTACACACATGCACTTAAAACATCATAGGGTTTCACTTCCTTATGCTTTTTATCTATCTATCTATCTATCTATCTATCTATCTATCTATCTATCTATCTATCAGAGGAGTTCTCCAGAGTTAGGAAGACACAGGCAATGAGTATAAAAAGCTGTCTTTGCAAACTACTGTTCCAGGAGAAAAGTCAGCAGAAATTTATAGTACAAAAGCAGCAACAAGTATTCTGGAAAGACTGACACACAAACCAACTCAAAACTAAACTAAGAGATATCAAAGAGCATGATGCCTTTTGGAAAAGGTGGTTACCTTCCTACTTACTAGTTAGGACATTTCTGGGATGTGAAAAAATATGCTTCTGAGGTTGACCTGGAAAAACTTAGAGGAGATTTGAATTTAACTTTTCTATTTTAATGTATGTATGTATGTATGTAAATAACTTACCTTGAGAAGGGCAGAAGAGGAGTGGGAAGAGAAGTTGATAGTGACTGAGTTGGTAGACGACTTTAACCTCCTGATATAGTAGTCAAACTAGGGATATAGAGTGTTCCATGGATCCAGTGAGAATCTCCTTTATTCAGATCAATTGTATCAGTAGCAGAAAGACATCGATGAGACAGCTGAATTTCTTTCCCACTTCAGGCCTACTGATTTAATACTGATTAAAATGTGGTGACAAGCTCTTCTTCCTTTAATAACAATATATTAAAGTAAAAAGGAGGTAAACATGGAAAAAAATTCAACTTTGGTACCTTAGAAAGGACGGTTTTAAAGTTGACAGAATATCCCTTAGTTTAGAGAAAGATAGAACACCACCACCCCACTCCCTCCCCTCCAAAGAGCAGGGTGAAATCCACAGAAAAATATTTTCATACTTGTGTTCGCCTATGGAATCAGCAGGAATGCTCAGACTGAGAAGAACTATATTAAGTAGGAATACAATAGTCATTGTAATAATTTAAGATAAAATTTTAATATCCTTCTCTGTATTATGTGTTATGAATAACTGATTTTGATTTCTCTTATTAAATGTTGTTAAAACAATCCTGGCCATTAACAGAAAATATGCTTGGTGTATTCTTTTTCTATTTTGCAACCAGAAAGATTTTACAGAGATTTCTTCAAATTATAATAATCAAGTAAAGAAAGGGAAATCTCTAACAGCACCTTCCACTTTAGCCAGTTTCCATGAATTCTGATAGACATTCTGAGTCATGAGACGTTCATTAAAACTATCATATCACAACTGAAGGTATTAATTAATAGCTACTTGTATATCTTTTCTTTAAGCTGGATGGATGGAACTCCAGTAACCTATGTGGCCTGGGCTCCTAATGAACCCAACTTTGCAAATAATGAGGAAAATTGCGTGGTAATGCTGTCAGAGCATGGTAAGTGACAATACAAAACCATTAGGTTTTATTTGTCTCTGCTTGGATTATAACTGATGATGTCAAACATTACACAATCTTTGGTAGCTGTTTTCTGCAATTTCTTTCCAGTGACAAACCAACACAATGCAGTAACTCTTCCCTGTCATGGGACCACCAGCCATGGAAGTGTCTACGTCCTTAGAATGGGGATATTTCAGCAACATGAGTAATTTAAAGCAGATGTTTCTTTCTGGGCTTGTAAGGTTGATATTGCACCTTTTTACAGGGCTTTTCACTACTTCTTTTAGTAAAAATTTGAATTGTCTATCTTCTCTACCATGAATTTAAGGAAACATTTATAGTGGCTACAGGAAATGGAATCTGAAGGTACGAGTCAACGAGGAAAGAAAAAAAAATACATCTATAGTCCTAAGATATGTTTACAAGTACACTGAAATGCAAATTTCTTGCAAATCCTAGAGTTCTGTTTCCTCTTTGGTCTATTTCTGCAACTTAACTAAGGCTAATGGGAATTTAGTATATAAGTATTGATCTCTCAATTTATGATTTACAAAGAATTCATGCAGTATGTTTGAACATTGTATTGTGACACTAGATTGATCTGGTATTTTCTATCTCATCCATTTCTGATCCATTTTCTTTTCAAATTTGCTTACTGGTGTATTTCCCCTGCTGCCTGCAATGTGATGATGCCAGAGCTCAAAAAATACCCATAAACAGGTATAGACACAGTGGAGAGAGCTCTGAACGAGGAGCAGATGGGCCAGGGAGCTCAAATTAACTACAAGGGGCTAGAGTGCTGTTACTGTTAGAGCTTATTTGAAGGTGCCATGGTTACTTTGCCTTCAGATCAAGCTGAAACCTGAAATACAAAATAGAGAAAATTGTATTTATTTTAAAAAAGAAAAAAGTTATGAATTATTATTACTAAATATTAAATACTATAACATACTGAATTTTTTTCAGGCTTATGGAATGACATTAACTGCGGTTCTGCCAATAAATTTATATGTGAAAAACATAACAGTTCTATTAATTCAACATTACCTTCTCCATTGCCTCCCGGAGGATGTCCAGAAAGTTGGATATTTTTTAACAACAAGGTATGTCAACAAATATCTTCAGTAAATTATGCAAAGCGGTAGAACTGAAAAGAAAATCCTGAAAAACTCACATTTTTAATGAATATAAAGTAAATGTGGAGAGTAATTACTTAGTCTAAAACGTGCAGACTGGATGGCTGGGCTTTTTTTGAGGTGACAATAGACATTTAACTTTGCAGAGAAATACAGTAAAAGTAGATGTATGCTGAATATATTTCAGAGAGCATAGTTTGTGCAGGCTTAAAATACACCGTTGTGGTTTAAGAAAACCTCTCCTCCTTTCTTCATGTATATTATTTTGTTTAGAAATGCAAGTTTGTAATAGTTAACCTTGTAAAAAGCCTGGAAAGGTTTATAAAGAATGTATTTGAACAATCCCTTTGGCCTGTAGGGGTTCACAAAGCTTTTAATTCAGAAACATGATGCCAAACTACAATTGTTTTGAGTACAGCTTTGCATTCACAGTCTGGAAGCCCTCATTGCTGTAAGAGAAGAGTTTTTGAGTTGAAGCTCCATCTACCAAAGGCTATTTTGTCTACTTTATGTAGATATAATAGCACTGTGCTGCTATTGCATCCTCAGAATGTCAGGATATTTCATATCCTTTGGCAGGATGAACAGTTGTAACCACAGTCATCAGAAGGAGAACAAAGTACAGTAGAGATTATTCCCTGCAGCTGTGTCACCCAAGGCACATTTTCTTGGTTTCAAATGATGCTTTTATTACTGCAGGAAGAAGGCAGATGAAAATGTGAGAAGTGATTATGTACTTGACCTCATTACAATCAGTTCATTTGATACCAGACTCCCAGATTACACCTTGTGCAATGAGGGGAGATAAGTGTATGCCTGGGTAGACATCCTGACTTTCTGCTCTTGAGCTCTGTCACTCATTCTAGCCCTGATTTATTTTTCTGCAGAAAAGTACATCTTAGACGTAATTGATAATATTCACATACAATAGTTCCAGTCTTTGCCAGTTTGAAAAAATGCTTGATTTGTTTCCAGTGTTTCAAAGTATTTGCTTCCAATGCAACAAGAACTCTCATGTGGCATGCTGCACGAGATGTTTGCTTCGATTTGGGAGGAAACCTGGCTGCTATACCAAATGAACAAGTGCAAGGTATGTATATGGGCTCTATTGAAAGAAAAAAAATCTCAATCTCTCAGTAAAGAAACTACTATACTCTCCAATATAGAATATGGGACTACCTGACGAAAATTTTTTATTAGCCAGGTCAGTCCATGGTTTATTTTAACTTCAAACTGCAAGGCAATAGCTAAAATTATTACATATAAGAAATAAACTTTGTTTCTAGTTCTTTCAGCTGCTTGGTTTTCATGAAACTTCCAGTGTGTTCTGAGGGTGGTTGCGCAGGTCTCTCATGCTGACAGAAATCTGTATTTCCTGCCTCTCTCGCAGGCAATAGGATTTCCTGAAACCCTATGTGTGCATACACAGTGAGGAAGGGATGCTTATCTAAACATTTAATTAACGGCAGATGCTCAGTGTAGTGGAAAATGTTATCCTTTTATTATGTACCCCACTCTGGGCTTTTGCATATTTTCCCTCTTTTGTGCAAGCCTTGATGAGCTTTCCTTAATGAGATATCTTTGTTTCTCCCCAGCTTTCCTTTTCTATCATTTGAAGTATGCCACAACTAATGTTTGGATTGGGCTGAATGATATCAACAGAGAGTCCACATTCCTTTGGACAGACGGAAGCTCTGTTTCCTACACCAACTGGGTTAACGATGCACCAGGAAAACAGCAAAGCTACTTTGACTTTTATGAGTTTGAAATGTTGACAGATGATACTCTGGAGGTACAGGAAATTTAAGTAACATGTGTACCTTGGGCAGCTTGTTGATTTTCCTAAATGAAAAGTTACAGAAGAAGTAATAGGATGATGAAACAAGTCCTTTTGTAAGCACAGTGGGGTTTAGCAAGTAATCTGATAATGATTCCAAATACACCCCAATGTTTGGCAAAGGTTCTTTAGAAGGGGGATTTTAAGCCTTCCATGTGAACTACTGCAAAAAACCAGCTCTTTAAAAGAAGCTCGGAGAAACTTCTATCACTTCCTCCCCAAACTGCATTAATGCAAATAATAAAGCTGCAATACCAAACACAGAGAAGATATGAAAAATGAAAATTAAGGTTTTTTGATGCAACAATAATTTGGCTGTGTACATGTCCCACTTCTGGCTAATGTGTTCCCACACTACTTTACTCATTTCTGATGGTACAAATTGATAACTTCAGTGAAATTACTTTCTCTGGTGAAACTCAGCCTCTTTTCCAAAAAGTGGTTATTTTTGAGGAAATGTTTAGCAGTTATTCACCCAAGATTTTTAATATCAACCATCACTCAACTTGTTGATGACTAAAACTTATTTAAATCAGCATAAAGGAGAAACTTGGATGACATGCCAAAAGACTGCCACGGCCAACTTGAAATCGGGGGAGTAATGAAGGAAATGCTGGAGCAATTAAACATAAAGAAGTAAAGAGAAAATGTTTTGTTGCATCTGATTATGGTAATTTGGTGACGACTATAAAAAACCAGCAAAGAGCATCTGCTTTCTGCAAGAGAGTCTGCTTCAGTTAGACTAGAGCTCTTAATAGTATTTCTTGTATTGTTTTCCTCATTGATAAAAATGTTTTGAAGCAGATCTACATAACTGTAAATTAGAACTGAGATTTATTATAGGTACCTTAATAATTTATGCAGCCATTATAGGGTTCTTATTAAAACTGGTAAAATGGGTTTTAATTGACTTCTTTCAAACCTTAACTGGCACCAGTGGAAGCCTGGTTCAAATTTAAGGGGTCACTAATAAACATCAGGTGAAGCTTCTTGGCAGAAACTGAGGAAATTTGAACTAATTACAGAGGTGTTCAATGAGCTCCTCTCTGCCATCAGGCCTGCACTAGCAGTACAGGAGCTTCAGCTCATCCCCTCCTCATTGCCTTTTGTAATGGCTGTGCCTCTTCCCCTCCCCTTCAGACAGACTGTGTCTTCATCACGAAGTCAGATGGGAAATGGAAAGATGATAGCTGTGACAATGAAAGAGGCTACGTGTGCCAGATGAATTCACGTGAGTTCTGCTCAACCCAGTCTCCTAAAGGAAAAGAATACCTTGGTTAGATAAGATGAATATATAACCTGATGTGATTTCTTCCAGCTTGAGTCACATTCTGAATCTCAGGATTTCAGAGCTCCGTCAGTGTTAAGCCAGTGCTATGTTTAAAACACAATTTGTTTCACAGAAATTTGTGAAGATGAACCATTATCTTAACTGGGCTTTTGTACCTAATTATGAATAATACTAGAGAATAATAAGTTAATTTTTTTTCCTCAGCAAAGTATAAGATGTTCAGGCATCCTGTCTAAGTGCTGTATAAATCATGTTCTTGCAGTGATCTTCCCATTCTCTTGGATGAATCTGAGGAGACCATTAAATCTTCTCTATTTCTACTGAATGCCATATGATGTCAATCAAAATATACAGCTTCTTGGATGTGCCTTTATTGTAGAAGAATATTGGCTTGTTTTATTTTACACCAAAATGAGTCATGAATGCTGACTCCTCTCCTGCAGAATTTTAATTATACAAATCCCAGCTGCCCAAGCATATAGTGGAAGCAGAGAAGGCAAAGCACAGATAACAAAACAATTTTGCTTCAACTTTATTGAAGTAAAAATTATTCCCTGATCCCTCACTTCAGTCAGTTCCTGCAACTTGTTCACTCTCAGCACAGCTGACATATTTGCAAGAAGACCCTCTCCCTGCACAGCAAATATGTAGTTTTATGGAGGCATTTTTAATTTTCTTGATCCCAGCTTCAGCTCTTCTGAATACATTTACAATTACGGTGGAAATATACACTGCCTGACTCAGACATGACAGCCCTTACAGACAGGCCAACAACTTGGAGTTAACAGTGGTGATCAATTAACATCAGGTCTCAAAGTCTTAGGCTGAGACTATGGATTACAACAGTTAATGCATCAAATGACTTGTCCTAAATCCTATCCACCAGTGATCAGAAGCAAATGTATACTCGGATATTCAGATTTAGTGACATAACTTAAAGCACAGAATCTGAAATATGCAATTTAGGAGTCTGAGTCTGGACCAGTCAAGTCTATAGCAAGTATACTCTACTGCAGGGCATCCAGGATTTCACTCTTTTTGTTATATTAACAAATGCTCCATGTCTTCAAAGTTATTTTCAGGACTTTTTTGGGGTTTGGGGGGATTTTATTAGGTTGGTTTGTTTGTTTGTTTTGGTTTTGTTTTGTTTTGTTCATGAGCTTAAAAATATATTTTGACTGGGACCTTTAGACCAATTTTTTTATAGCTTGCGTGCTACAGAAGAGCAATGTGTTATAAATTTATCCATTCAGTTTTTCCTCCATAGTTCCCTCACAGCCTGAAGTACCAACAACAAACCCAGCCTCTGGCTTTACTCGTTATGGTGACAGTAGCTATTCAATAGTTTCATCTGAAATGCAATGGGAAGAGGCCAGAAAAAATTGTCAAGACAAATCTGCAGAACTTGCCAGCATTTCAGATGCCTACATCCATTCATTCTTGTGGACCCAGATGCTGAAATATGGAAAACCTGTATGGATTGGTCTTAACAGCAATATGGTAAGTGCTGAAAAGATGGGAGGGGCAGCTGCTCAGGGTAATTTCCTGCTCTAATAGTCCTCTGGATGACCAGTTTAGAACAGTGGAATAATTGTATTCTGCATGGCTTCACTGTGTAAATGAATAAAAATCTAGGGGTACTGTTAGAATTACCCAAGGATTTTCATCCATCAAATGGAATGAAGAATCACAGAAAAGGTTATGCAAGAAGCAAAAGATGAAAGTAGAAAATTCTAAAAACAGTAAAGGAAGTCAAGCTGCAGAGTGAGAGTCAGAAAGTGCAACTATCATGAAGTGACTGTTGGCTGTCCTGAAAGTCAAACACTGTGATACACAGGGGGATACTTAGAGCTATTATTATATTAATAGAAGTTACTGTGAGTATTAGGGAGATATTTTAAGATTTAAGCTAACTGTTTAATGTTTAATGTCAACTAATCTTTATGCACAAATAGTTCCCAATTTTAATCTAAATAAAGCAGAGCAGAGAGGACAAATTCTCTGTAATTGCTTCTCTTGATGTAGGATTTACTAAATGACCTAAGATGGCCCCATGTGACTTTCTTGCCATATTGTAGAAGTTTGTTACTTCAGAAAAAACCCTCCCAAAAGAAATGTAGTGTTGAACACTATTCATATGTAGCTCTTGTGTAACTCAAATTGCCCAGTGGCATTGCTTAGAACAGTGAATGGGGTCTAAAAAAATGGCACTTTTTTCTGAAAAAATCAAATAGACATATGATTATATTTTCACTATATATTTGTGTGACAGAACTTTTATGTTAAAAAAATAATCTATTACCAGAATTCTTTTGTTTTCAGACTGGTAGCTATTATAAATGGACCAATAACTGGAAAACCAGGTACACAAAATGGGCAGCAGGGGAACCAAAGGAGAACAATGCTTGTGTTTACCTCGATCTTGATGGTACTTGGAAAACAGCATCTTGCAATGAAAGCTACTTTTCAGTTTGCATGATATCAGATGGTAAGTAAAGGCATGGAACAATTTTAAAGACACATTCCTAATTCCATGAGCCTGCTTAATCCTGGCGGCTTTGCTCTTGCCTGGGCTACCCCTGCAGAGGACTAAACTTCGGGTTAGCACCTACTTCCCAGAAGAATGTTGATGTTTGCTATTGGAGGATATATGAATTTAGGCACAGGAAAGGCTTTTGTGCCAATCTATATGGCTGCAGTGCAGTTATGGTAAAGCTGTTTCCATAAGATGAAGCTCTATCTTCAAGGTATATCTTGCTCTTTACAAGACATGACCATAAATCACGAGTCTGTGTGTAATATTAGTATGTGCTGGGTTTGTGCACTGACTCTGTGAACTTCAGCTGAGGCAGCTCACACACAAGTGTCACTGAGCTGAAATATAAGCAAAAGTTCCACTTCTATTCACTATTGCTAGAGCTAAAACTGTAAAAGCCTTGGCAATGTGAATGTTACTTTAACTCTTTGCAGATACATGCAGAGGCATGTTTACACCTAGATTTTGTAGAATCATGCTGTTTTCCCTCCTTTATGTTTTAAGACTGCATGCATTTGGTCTGCTTATGCAGTGCAAGAGCTACAGATCCATCAAAGTGAATTGGAGTTGCACCCATGATCAGAAAGAGTCTGACTTGGCAGAGGCATGCTCCACTGATGGCTTTTTTTTTCTATAAAGTGACAGCATGAAGAGACCAAGCAGCCAGATAACATGGGAGCGTGGTATTAATGATTCATTAGCCTACAATAGCTTTCTGTGTTGTGATAATGAAAATTTGAGATTTGTACCCTCCCTCAGGGTTTGCTTTCCTCACAGTGCTGCCAGGGCAGTTAGTTAGATGTTGCAGGATGCAATTTGATTCCTTGTCCTGAGAAATGTGATTTGAGAAATAAGATGTTTCACACTTTTGACTGCTTGGCACTCCCTGTTGTTGGAGTGGATGTCCAGACAGATAAAGCTGGGTGAGAGAAATCCCACACTATTTACACACATATCACAGATGACTCACAATGCTACACCAGTTTCATACCAACATGCTTCTCTAGAGATAGCTCCTACTGACCCTGCTGAGCTGCCTGGAGACTGTCCTGAAGCAGATGAGCTCCAAGCTTGGATCCCTTACCATGATCACTGCTACTACCTTGAAGCATCAGCTGGGAGAACCTGGGCACTGGCATCCCTTGAGTGTGCTCGCTTAGGTGAGAGCCTTCATTATCAACTAAAAAGATTTGTACCAATGTTTACACAAAACTGACATAAAAATGTAAAGATATTGATTAAAAAATAAAAAAAAAAAATTTTTTTTACCTACTAAGCTGTTCTAAGGCTGGCACAATGAAAACAAGCTGACATGAGTGACTTTGTGCAGCCTTCTGTCCTCTCAGGTCTGCAGCTTCCCTGTGCATGAGTTCCCATCAGCTCCTGGCTTGTGGGATACAATCCTGGGCCAGCAGTGGGGGGCACAGCCTCTCAGTACCTTCAGGTCATTGGCTTCTGCAAGAAGTAGTGGAGAGACCAACAGAGCAGCATTAATACTGCCAGGAGCTGTTGTTTGTACAGACTAAAACGAGGAGGTCATTACAGTGGTTGCTCACTTAGGTTATGGCTATTTGCTTATTAATGCCTTTCAGGAGCTTCCTTGGTTTCAGTAGGAAACATGGATGAATCTCACTTTCTGACTAATAAAATTCAACCACTTGGAAATAAAGTAGGAGGCTTTTGGATAGGACTTTACAGGAATGTGGAAGGTATGTCCTAATTTCAATTTTTAATGGAAAAATGCATTGCTAAGTTGACAAAATTGAAGATTATTGTAATTTTACAAAAAATATGGGTTTCTTCTGAAGAGTGGCTTACTATAGATATTTAAAGTAAATTGCTGAGCTAAGGAGTTAAAATATTAATGAAATAGATAAGTTTTGATTTTTTTTTTCCTCTGCGAGTTGCTCTGTAGGCCAGTGGTTGTGGCTAGATAATGCTGTCCTGGACTTTGTTAACTGGGAAGAGAAAACGTTCAGTGAGGACCATCAGTGTGTGGAAATAACTGCACCATCTGGCTATTGGGACAAAAGTGATTGCTCTGCTGAAAAAGGATTTATCTGCAAAAAACCCAAAGGTAAGTCTTCAGTGTGTCAGCCCTTAGTGACAGGACAGATCTGTTCACTAGTAACTGCTAAAGCCCTTCACCACAGGTTTGGAAGTAATTCCTGGAAGTTATGTTTAGCATATCCCACTTCTCTAACCATTTGTAGTTGCCTATTTTTGCAGACTGCAAGCTCTCCACATCACTGTCTACAGTCACATGGGAATTCAGTAATATCCTGCAGCCTAGGTTGAGAATGAAACATTCAGAAACTTTTGAGTGCCTAGCACAGGCATTGATATGGCACCTGTGCAAGGGTATGACTGTTCCAAGAATTGATTATTGTACCTATTATTATATCCTTGCAAAGAGGAATCATTGTGAAGAATCAATCTTCCTCTTCCAGCTTGTTATTCTCAAAAAATATATTACTTCCCAATTTACCAAACTGGCTTTATATTGGCCCTGATTCAGTAATGCCTCAGGAATTCTAAGAGGTCACCTGTTTGTATTGTAATAATGATATGAGGAATACTTCCCTTCTGAACGAAAACTTCAAGTCATTAGAGAAGCTGTCTTATCAGCATTTTTAGAAAATTTCACACAATGCACTATATATCAGACTAATGCTTCAGAGATAAAGCACAGCATTAATTATTCCCAAGTGGAGACACAAAGGAAATTATTTGCAAGAAAGCAGTATCATTTTTTGCTTCTAACTTAGATGTTAAAAGTCAGTCTATCTAACCTAAAAAAAATGGTAGGTAAGTTAAACATTTTCACTTTCTTTTGTAGTAGCTGTGAGATCAGGTTTTCCAGTTTTTTGCATTTTGCATTGTTCCCAGTACCCAAATCATGGGTAGCATTTCTGTCCTATTTTGAAAACCTAAAAAAAAAAAAAAAAAGAAAATAATAAAAAAGAGTAAAGGCAAAGGCTTGCTTTAAAGATAGTTTTAAGATTCTGTTATTCGGATGAAAAGCTGAAAAAAATTTATTTCAATGCTAAAGGCGTTGCAAGACAAGACATGGTAGGTGGTGAAAAAATAACTGAAAATTTGGGGTTAGCATTTACTCATTTTCCAAGTAGTCTTTAACTAGAAAAAGATGCTGAACTGTAACCAAGAAATAGTCATCTCCCCTGCATTATTAATTTCTATGCTTAAATCTGCACATGCCCACGGCAGTAAATCAATTAATTCCTATTAAAGACTTAGTAAAAACATCCAAGTTACATTCCATCCTACATAGTACTAAAATAATAAGGAATCTCTAAAGTTCATCCATTGAATCATACTGTGTTGCCATATGTACTATTTCCTGCTTTAGTAGGGATTACTCTTTTGTATCTATTCATTTTGCATTCTTTTTTGCTTTAACTTTACATTTTGCCTTTATAAATTCTCCTCTGGGTACCAAGGGTGTTTGCAAACTGTAACGTAGAGGAGCCAAGATGAGAAATATTTTCATGATAATTTAGAAATCTTTAATTCTATGTGTATAATTCTTCATTTCTGAGTGCCAAACTAGTTTTATTTGCACTTCTTTAACAGCAACAAGACAATGTTATAAAGGTATTTGCATTTTTCTCTTTCTCTGTCTTACACAGAGGCAAATAGGACGATTACTCATGTGATTCAGTAGGCGTTTTCTTGGGAAGATGTGTAGAAATCAAAAATTTTCTAACAGCTAGACATGCAGATGCTCTCAAAATATGCCATGTAAAACTAATCTCCAGAGTGATACATCATGTTCTTAGTGCATTAAAATTAATATTTCAGGAAAAATGTGAAGAGGTATTTTGAATGAACATAGAAAAGAGTCAGTATTTTAATGTTGGCAATATAAAAACAATATAAAGTTTCAAAAGTGGAGAAAGTAATTTTAAGTAGGAAGGTGAAAACTTAGCAATGTATTTTTTGCATCAATTTGTTACCTTTTATAGCAGACATAAATGTTACTAATGCAGTGGTAGAACTGCAGGGGTTTTTGTTCTTGTACTATTTTTGCAAACAGTCAAATGTATGGATTCTAATAAAGTGTCATATGATTTCTCTCTGATATTCATTGAAGTTGAGCCAAATGGGAGTCCTATAAAGCAAAAAGGTAAGAGCTTTCATAAGAAAATTCAGGAAAATCTAAATAAAATTAGTTTTCCCAAACCATGCTTTTTTTAGAGAACAAGTCCTACTGAGGGTTGCAGGGTTATCAATCACTCCTGGTAACCCCACATGCCCAAGAGCACTCCTCTGTTCTTGGCTAACAGGACTGCTGGCAAGCTCAGCAGTGACCAGGACAGCTACAGAGGGCTTTAACCTTTAACTGGGCTGTTGGAAAATATGTAGATGTATATGAAAGTTTCTTCCAAAGATATTGTTGTAAAATGTGTAACATAAAAATACTGTGAAACTGATTTCCAATAGTTAGCGTCCCATATCCATCTAGAGCATACATTTTTATTAACTTCTTGCAAACATCCACTGCATGCATTGTACATCCTGTACTCCAGATCCACTAAAACCATATTTGCTTTAGGAACAGAGACCTGACTACTGATTAGCAACAATTCAGGGTTCAGATTTACAGCCCTCAAGTTCAGGTAGAAGAGGGCATCTCCTTTTCATGTTGTGTGTGGAAATAAAAACTACTATGGTTTCTCACAGTTATATGGATTCATTTCAGGCAAGGAAAAGAACGAAGGGACTCGCCCACCTGTTCATGTCTCTGTTTGGCCACTCATTTTCTTGGCTGTTCTAACTGTTTTTGGAGCGGGCATGGCAGCCTATTTCTACAAAAGAAAAAGACAAAACCAGCTCTCAACAGATTCTGGCAGTGAAACACTATTAAAATGATGTATTGGTGACTGAAGAATTGGTAAGAATGGGTCCTGTGGCACGTTGCTTGGAGCAGCAAGTTACTGAAATTTTAAAGTTTGATGTTATAGTGTCAAGGTGTTCTCAAGTGCCTTAGCAAGGATGGTCATACTAAAAAACTTGTCAAAAACAAACACATGTACTGAAAAAGGACAATGAAAATCAACTAGTTAGAATGAATGTCCAATAAAGAGTGTGAATGCCATTTAGGACTGCACTGCTGTGACCTTGTGGACACTAAAAATCTTAAAAATTAGAACCTCTTTTACAAACTTGAACTCATTTAACCCCACAATCTTCACTGCATCAGACCTGTACTTTTATTGTTCCTTATGGCTAAATCCTATTACACTTATTAAACTGCTTCATAATCTTTTCTCAAAACTTTGGGATAGAAAACCTTGTCATGTTCATTTTCTGCTATGGAAAGCAGTTCATGTGAGTAAAGAATATCAAGACCAGGTATAAGTTGTAATAATTTTTCAATTCAATAATGTGATTTTTAACTGTATTATGTTTACTTACATGAATTAAAATATTCTTACCCTGACATTTTTGTTTCTTTTTGTTAATGCTTTGAAATAAATAAATAAGTTTTCTATTAGTATAATTTTCAGCTTCAGCATTCCCTGTGAATCAAGTGAGGGGAAAGGGGAAGCACAATAACTCTTTTGTCAATAACAAGGAGGGCTTTTCTCCTCTCCGCTTTGAATTCAGCTTGAATAAGCACCAACTTCACATTTTTAAATGCAAGAAAAAGGAACTGAAAGCTAAGAAATGTAGCAGATGGTTCTGCACTAGAAGTCTGCAAGAGAGTAAATTTTAGATGTCAGAAAAACAGTAGAAAATACTAGAAGATATCTTTTAACTGAGTTGTGAATACAATTAAGTAACTAAACACTATGAGAAAGAGTGCTTAGCAGATATCCCCAGGAAATCGCCTGCCTCCCCAGGCTGCACAGTCTATTGAACAAGCTGGAAAACTGGGGAGGAAAAAAACCAACAAAAAACCCAAACAACTAATGAAGTTGCTTTCCTTTCCTGAACTCCCGTTTTTCCTGGTGTAAATACAAGCAAGAGTGCAGGACACTGGTGAGAACACATTATTGCACAAAGTGTTATGCAGCACACGAGATACTGACCCCAAAAAGTTTGCAACTGATATGAAGCTGGTTGGCCGTGCCAAAGAGGGAGCTCTGAAGTCCTCAGTTCCTCTTTCAGCCTGCCCCTCTGTCTGCATTAATCTTTCCCCACCACTGTAGCCCAGGATGAATCCTCACAAGCATTCATTTACACAAGAGGGAGAAGAAAGCCCAGCTTGAGCTGGATCCAGGCTGGCACTTAGTGAGGCAAATGAGAGAACTTGGAAGGAATTGTGTCCTCCAGGTATTTTCCCTTGGGATTTCCTTTGTCAGAGCAATTTAATCTTGTTATTTGAGATGTATCTGAAATAGGTTTACTCAGGAAGCTCCACTTCCATTTGTGCCCCACCACACTGGTGCCTGTGACACCATTCAGCTCCGTGAGTTAGAGCTACTCTTGTAAGCCTTGCTCACACTAAGCCCTCCCTTAATGTGACCTGCAAATAAAATAGTTATAATTAAACAATTCATTCAATTCCTAATTTTGCTGAAATCCAGACTTTTTTTTCAGAAAATATTTTTCTCTCTTACTACCTTCTAGAGCCAAGTCAAAAATTTGTCCGGTTCTTGCAATAATTTTCCCCAACACTCTTTTAAAAATAAAAGCAATGATAGTTGCTCCTCCTATGACATCTACTGTTCAGCTTCTATATATATTTCACTACTGGCTATTTCACTTCTTGATTTTTTTCAATTTTGTTGTCACAACTTCTTTTAATTTCACTGATGTAAATAAACAGAAGGAATAGCAGGACTTGTGAACATTTGCAGTAGGGCTTTGCAGCATATTTGTACATAAACTGCCATGCTGATACAAGTCTTCAGATGAACACTTTGCTCACAGGTTAAAAGGACCTTTTCCAAATTAGTTTGTCTTTGGCTTTGTCCTAAAACAGCCTCATTAGGAATTTTTCAGATAGATATACACATCCTTTTACTTGGTAAAGTATTAAAGTATTCCAGGCAAAAGTTTCCTTTCTGTTCCAGGGAAGTTTACTACTAGACTACAGCGTTGAACATCTTCATTTTTTCAGGTCTTTGACAAGCAATTATGAACAGCCCAGCTCTAAAATGGAATCAAATAAACCAGTGTAATGATACTAAATTTGCCTCCAAGAAAGCAAGAACTCATAATGCACCAAAAATTGCAGTTTCTGTAAAGTTTGCTCTCTTTCTTCTACTTATATAGTGCTGTGACATTATTGCAATGCATTGAACCACTGGGATTTTGTCTGTTTGTTTCTGAGATGTAAGGGTTTTAAAACTGAGGGTTTTAATTGATCATATTTCACTGCAGATTCCTTGTCCCCGTTTCAAAAGTTGCTTTTCCAGGTCTGTTCTGTGTAGCACCCCAATACCTAACCTGTATTAATATTATCAATGTCATAGAAGATTACAAAGCTTCTACCTCTAGTTACAAGGATGGAGACTTCAGTTTTGGAAGGGACTTGCTCTTCAGAGAGCAGTATTTACAGTTTGCACTCCAGTTATTTCAAAATACCATGTGACAAGACATTTCCTTATTTAGAGTGCAGAGCTTTATCCATCAACTTGTTGACACAGACAAGAACCCGTTACTATTTAGAGAGACAAGGATTTTTATATATCGCCAATCTTCTATTCCAATTCTTGGTAGAAGAATGAGAAGCAAGTTACATTTGCAATGAGTTTCTCTGGGTTTCTAGTTTTTCTTTCCCTCATGCAATGTTCACAGCAGTCATCAGGTAAGTTTCCTGTTAGTTTTGTATTAAACTAGATATGAAAATGCTTTACCTTGGGCAGCTTTACAGTTTTAATGCATAGATTGATTATTTTATATGTTTTATCAGATTTGATACATGATCTAAAGAGTATGTTAGGTACCCTGGCAATTCTTGATTCACAGAATAAACGGACGGATGTGCATAGAGATGATGGAAAAATTGAGGTAGTAAGAGATGGATCTTTACACTGGAATTTATTTCACTGGAAATATTAAATCAGACAGCATTGTATGGGAGGGAAATGAAAGATGAGGGAGCATGGACCTCTTTTCATTTACCTTCCTCCCTGGTGCAGTGATCAGTTGAGGGATTTACATATTTACACAATAACTGCGAGTTTCTGCCCCATGACATGAAGTATGAAAAGGAAGAACTGGCTCCTCCCCTCCAGTCTCACCAAACTAGAAGAACAATTCTACTCTGAAGATGTTTATCAGTCATTAGGCATAGTTATAGAGAGAAAATTAAAAAGCAATGTGTGGATAACTGAGTGGACAAACGAGTTTGCATGAATGTGAGACTGAGTCTGTTCAGAAATTTCACAATAAAAGAACATTCCCACTATACTCTAAAAATATGAGGCATTATTAACCTTAAAGACTCTGAGTTCGAGATGAATCTGCAAGACTTCTCCAAGTGGAGAAATGTGCAAGTGAAACCTAAGATTTTCACTATGTAAATATGCTCATGACACTGTGGTCTGTATTTTCTCTGGTCAGCCACCCTTTTTCTTTCAACAGTTAAGGAATATATGGGGTGAAAGAGTGATTATGGATAGAGTAATCAAGCAAATGAAGCAAATTTATTGAGCTGTGCAGAAAACAAAAATGCAGTGAACTCACTGTTGTTTTAGTTTGTAGTTTTTCTCTCTTCAGGAACCACAATGCATCACAAACTTTTCATCACAGAATTTGATTTGCCCACAGTGTATATATATCAAATTCTAACCTCAGCATTTAAACTTCTTATTTTACTAAATAAATTTATTTAAAATCTGTCGCTACACTGGGGAGGAAATGATAATAAAAATAAATATTAAAAGATTGCATAACTTCTCAATTTAGATAGACAAATATATAATAGATCCATTACTAGAAAGTTAGATGCATGATTTTTTATTATTTGCATGTCCTCTTAACATTTTTTCCCCCTAGTTACTTTTACATTACGAGGAAATGCCAATGGACAGCCTTGTGTATTCCCTTTCAAATACAAAGACAAGCAGTACAGTGAGTGCACAGATGCTGGCAGGTCAGATGGGCTGCTCTGGTGTGCAACAACTGCAGATTTTGATGCTGATAAACTGTATGGATTTTGCCCACTAATAAGTAAGTCTTGCATTTTATTTATTAACTCACCATGAAATGTTGTTGAGCAAACCATCTCTTGAGCAGCCAGGTTTTTTATGAGCTACCAGCTGCACACCTTGTTGGAGGATCCCAATTGAAACTCACCTGTCTGGACACTAGTAGAGCTCTCTCTGTAGTGAGTGGAGAGCAAGAGGAGCCACCAAAGAGTGATTCAGCCCAGGAATGTTCTGACTCAAGTTCTAGAGGTGTCTGTTTCTCCTTGTGAACCAGAGGGGTGAAGAGGCCCTTTTATGGTACTTAAGTGCATGGTATGAACAGTATGAATTTAGATATCTATCTTATTATTTAGATATTCATCTTCCTTTCAAAAAATTCCTATTTCTCTTCATTCCTCACGCGTTTCCTATAGGTCAATTCTCACTTAAACTGCTATTTTCTAATTTTTCTCCCTTTAATTTTCTACCTTTCTCTAATTTCCTATTGCCAGCCTACACAAAAATGCTGCTGTGAAAATTATCTTCCTCTCCCAGCTTTGTTCTGTCTTCTGCACTGAGTTTGTGTTTGGATCTTTCCAGTTCAGGACACATACATTGGTCTCACCAATGCCCTTCCCAATAACAGCAGTTTCACAGGTTTAGTGAGTTGCTCTGCAAAGACAGCAGCTGAGCTGTAAATTGGTGCTACACAGACTTCTTTTATTGTTTCTCAAGCTTGTTTAACAAAGGCCAGTTTCTGTCATTTTTGGATAAACTGCTTCTCTTGATGGTGAGCTAAGAGGGAGCTCCTACCTATCAGTCATGAACAGCCTCCAGGGTTGCAGTTCACCTACAGACTTGATTTTCTCCTCTAATTTCACTCTGGAATCTCTTTATTTCAATCAATAGATATGTCTGGTTTACGTAGAACTGCATTTGCAGTATGAGATAATTCAAAAGCAAATACTGGGAAACGATCCACTCCTTTCAAAAAATATAGAAATTTTAAATAGTATTTTTAACTTTTAAAAATCATTAATTTTTTTAATTTGCTGCCTAGACATTTCAGTATTTATTTTCTGATGCATAGTGTGCGTCTTTAGAGATTCTGCATTATTACACACTTTATTTTCTTTTAGTTGGCATATGTGAGTCCACTAGAACAGTACTCTATGTCACTTCTTCCAGACAACACAGAAAGATTTTGGACAGAAGATGTTTCAACCGGCATTCACTATCAGATAAACTCAGAATCAGCTCTAACATGGCACCAAGCAAGGAAAAGCTGTCAGCAGCAAAATGCAGAACTACTAAGCATTACAGAGACTCAGGAGCAAGCATATATAAGAGGTAAAAGGATAGAGAACAAGACCTTAAAATATGCTGTGATGAGGTTGGCTGCCTTGTCGTCTGTCTCAGCAAAGAAAGAGGGCAGAGTGTCGGGGTGGTTCAGCAGCCTCCAAAAGGGGAATGGTCTGAACTTTTTATGTTGTTTTTATGGGGGGCTTTTCATGAAGCATTGGTCACAAACCTCTTTGGGAGTGAAGTGTCCCCATGCCAGCATTGTGCTCCAGATGGGAGCCCCTGCAGCTCCTGCAGTCTGTCCCAGGGAAGGGTTTCCTCCACTCACCTTTGTGCAAGGGCTCTCATTCCTGACCAGGGCTGCAGGCTGACCCTCTAATTTATCTTTTTCCACTGTGTTTCAAAGATTATTAATATTTTCAGGAGAACATAAGATGATGGTTGGATTGGTCCTAATATGAGTAATTTGCATACATAAAATCAAAATAACTCCAGTGGATTTCAGATACAGGTATCACAGCATCTGTTTGGTTATAAATAGTGTAAAGGAGGCTTTGAAAGAACTCCCATTGAAAAAAAGGCTGGAAAAGATGTGTTGACACAATTACTTTTTCTTTTACTCCATGAAATCTGTTACAGGAGACTTTTAGCAAAATTCCCTTATGAAAATCAGGGCTTTTTTGCACATCTAATGAAAGCAAGTGAGAAAAATAAAGTCTTGTTTAAATAGTGAAATGAGATGTTAATTTGCCCTACTAAGATCTCTGGTAAATCAATATAGATTAATTTACAAATCTTACTTTTTGTAATCAGTGAATCTCAGTAGTGCAGAAAGTACTGGTTTGGGGCTGGTTTAAAATAAGAAATATGAATTTCTTACTTTACACTTAATTTCTTTTAGATGATCTTACTACGAATAAGAATAGATATATACAACTGAGGGATTGTTGGTTTTTTTTTTCTAATTTAGAGCTAACTAAAGAATTTGGTTTTGCCTTCTGGATTGGATTGAATGCTTTGGATTTCAACAGTGGATGGCAATGGGCTGGGGGTAGCCCTTTCAGATATTTAAACTGGGCACCAGGTAAGAGATGGATCTATTTTGTAATCTTTGAATAAATTCTGATAAGACACCAACTAATAAAAACTGCACTAGCTAATGTTATTTCAGGAAAGTCCATTCTGATTTGCAATAGCCCAAGATCTAGATCCCTGTTTTAAGATTAACATTTTTAAATCACAAAGTTCACAGTGGATATCAGTTATAGCATAGTATCTTATTCTCTTATCTAAACAGAGAGCTTGTTTATGAAAGCAGAGTGTCACTTGGAGTGATACATAACCCTAAACATCAAAGACCAGAGTTTTCTATAAATGTTGTCCACAAGTGTGAATATAAGTCAAATCTTCCAAAGGCAGCAAAATATTTAGCAAATAATGGCACTACATTGTTTGGAGAAATTCTAAACACTATTGAGAAGCTTAAGGAGCCATAGGGTGAGTGTGTAGAGTTTCTCATACTTCTCAAAGTTTTTCTCTTTGCTTCTTGGGATTTTTTGGTTCCATGTTTGCTTTGTGCCATGAGTATTCCAAGCTGTCTCCTGATTTGGAAAAGTTGCAAGGTGTTGAAGGAAAAATTAAACTCTCCTCTAAGTTTTCAAAAGACGTATCAAGAAATTTCCTTTGCTGCCTACAGAGGTTTGTACACACTGCAACAGAAAAGAAAAAAGTTAATTCATAGGAAAGCAGAACTGTGAAACTCTTGAAATATACTGGAAGGATAATAAAACTTAATATTCTAAAGTTTGGAAGTTTGTGACACAAGATAAAGGTCCAGTTTCAGCAGTTCTTCTTGTAAGAACTAGAGAGTCAGGAAAAGAAATATACATTTTCCAATACTATCCTGATAAGAAAGGCAGTGGAGGGTCATTATTTCACTCTCTGTATCAACTATAGGTAGCATCCTGTAAACTTCAAGGCAGATATCCTGAAGGAAAGGGCTTCTTCCTATTAGTGGTTCAAGGAATCATAAAAAGCAGATGTTTCCACTGGTAATATGATGTTTATGTTAATATTTTTTATTAATTTATTGCTGTGAGATTCTATTTTCTCTCTTACTTAAAGGAAGTCCTTTCCTGCTCCCTGGGAAAATCTGTGGAGTTTTGAATCCCGCGAAGAATGCTAAATGGGAAAACCAAGCATGCAACCAGAGACTAGGCTACATTTGTAAAAAGGGACCCTTCAGTTCAAAGCCTGACATTATGCCCAAAGGTAGGTTAGTCAAATAGAAAGAAAGGTTTTTATGACTTCTAAGAAGAAGAAACTTGTATGCAACATTATTTTTCAATGAAGATGTTAGAAACCTTTGAAAAACACAGCAGTACACAACACACAGACTTTTATATACTGCCTTTTTTCTCCCTTTGTGTATTAAACATTCATAGGACAATATTATTATCTTGTTCCATCACTCTGTCATTCATTCTTGCAATACAGATTGTAGATGTTCCATCATGGTAACCTGTGCCAAAAGGCAAATTTGCCTAAACATGGTAGAAATATTATTCTCATTTGCTCCAAATGAATAACCGCAGTTACTGTTATATTGATGAAAAATGTCCTCCTCTGTCTGATGTCTGCAGTTTGCAATGCTTTGGTTTCATATGAGCAGAGCAGGAGCAGCAACAACACTGACCCAGACCCATGGCACCAGCACAGCTGGGAACATGCCCCATTCGAGAGGAGTCCACTGGAGACTGTCACCTGGGAATGTTATAAAATATACTTTTAAAGAATGAGTTTTTACTAAAGAAATTACAGAAGTAATTTCAGAGATTCTTTATTCCAGTATTAACCTTAAAAAGAAATGCAGGATTCAATTTTTAAAGCAAGATTGAAGTACATTTTTAAGAATTTAAGTTATAAAAAGCAGGTTAGAGGATACACAAAGTCTCCACTCATTTACAAGGTTTACTGACCTGCAGTTATCAAGGAACTGCTTCATGCTTTTCCATACTTGAAAAATATGTTTGTTTTTGAAAAACCATAGACCAGCAGGCATAGCCCAATATGAGTCACTGCAGGCAGCAAGAGACTGAGTGGCTCTGGGGCACAAAGAGAGGACAAAGCTGATGTCTGCTTTGGTCTCTCTTTCCTCACAGATCATTATTTCAAGTTGCATTTCTGACACAATGTGGGCATTTTCCAGTAGTTCTTTGCTTAAGGAGACTTCATTCTATTTACATATTTAGCATGCTGTGCCTTAATGATATTTACTTTTAATTTGAATGTAATTTGCATTGCCCACTACAGCTTTATGTTTACTCATATAGTCCCATTTTTGTAAAGAGTACTCAAGAGAGCTCATTCTAGTGTCCTTTATTTTCCTCTTGTTCTTGTTCTGAAAAAAAAAGTGTTTTGATTTTAGGAGAATTGAGGCCTGTCCAGTGCACAGATGGCTGGTGGCCATATGCAGGTCACTGCTACAACATTCACCGGGACCCCAAAACATGGGAAGATGCTCTGTCTTCATGTAGAAAGCAAGATGGAGATTTGGCAAGCATCCACAACATTGCTGAATACAGCTTTCTAGTGTCACAGCTTGGTTACAGTGAGTATATATGTAGGCCTGTATTGCATTTCTCCATCTATGACATAAAAACTGAACATATTAAATATTAATGCTTTCTCTGAAATATCACAAGTTAAAGACTGAATCAAACTTACCATGCTCTTTTATGTTGTTGCTGTTGCATAAATACAGAACTACATCTATGTTTATCAAGAAATAATCCACATTGTAAAGCATTATAAAGGAGGAGAAGAAAACAAAAAAAAAGGTATTATTTACAGAGACACATAAAGATCTCTAATGATTGAACTTTTGGCACCTGTCTTCTATGTACAAGATTTCAGAACTGAGCTACAAAACTAGAGGATAATCTTCTTGCTGAGATTCAAACCTCTTGCTGATGCTAACCTCTCGCTATATATCCTTCTAAAAAAACAATATCTTTTCACTTCTGATACTCCTTGGATCTGTAGTAACCAGCCCTGACACTGCAGATGCTGGCCATGGTGAACACACCTGGATGTGCCAACACAAGTCCTGTAATGTACTGGCAGGTATCTTCACAGCTTGGACTCAGTATGATCTCCTGAGAGGTGGGACACCCACAGCCATTCAACATCTTCATGCTCAGGACCATTTTGTTGTTCTGAATCACAGAAAGTTTGAAAAAATCTTCTGCCAGCTGTAAAGAGCCTTATGTTCGTTAAAAACAGCTCTTCTGAATGGAATCTGATGTTTTTTCCACAACACATCTCTTATAGAGATCTGAGAGGAAGCAGCATTTTTATAAAAGCACAGAGACCACCTCTTGTGTGCCACATGCCAAACTTATCCGTCCCTGCTGGTTCTGTGCAGTGGACAGTAACCAAACCTCTTTCCTGTCGTGCTCCAGAGCCAACAGAAGAGCTGTGGCTGGGTCTGAATGACCTGAAGGCTCACTTCTACTTTGAGTGGAGTGACGGGACTCCTGTGACATTCACTGCATGGCAGCGCAGCCATCCCACCTACCCGAACGGGCTGGAGGACTGTGTCACTATGAAGGGACAGGTACAACGTGCACTCATCTTACAGCAATGCAATTTAATAGCTGCATCCACCCAAAATCACTCACTTAAGTATTTATTCAGGCATCATTCGTTATATTAGCTTGAAAGAGTTTTGCTCCAAAGTTTGGTATCAACCAGAAGACAAGTTCAGAGGTCAGGAGACATCAGAAGGAGAGGAAGCATTTTCCTAGCACGTCCTTGTGAAATTCCTTGTCTGATGAAAATTCTGATCCAGAAATTTTACATTAAATTCTTTCCCTTGATTTCAGCAAAGAAAAAGTTTAAGCTCTGACAGAGGAATAGGGATGAACTAGTTAATACCCTATGTGGGTACCATAGGTGCTATTTGCATACCTCCTATTTCAATCAGACAGACAATTTTGTCCCTCAGTGTCATGTCACCAAGACTTGGCTTCGAGGCACAGAGGCTTGGCACTTGGACAAGTTTCTTAGCTGTCATCTACTTTCCAATAAACTAATGAAAAATTCTATAGTATTTTTGACTGCTTGACTCACAAACTTTATTTTCTTGCAAGACATGATTGTTTGATACATTTACCTGCATGTGCATGCACATGTATGCACCTACAAAGAGTGTAATGAATTTTGAAATGCATGATGTTACTGATAGAACTTCTATGTCATAGAATAACTCTAATATTTGCCAGCATTAGGCATCAAAGGAATTGATCCAATACCAGATTTTATGGGAGGGATGAGGGGAAAGCTCTTCTTAAATAGGTTATATTTTTTTAAAGTAGTCCGTCACATTCAGATTCTTTGATGGATAAAATAGCTAGGCTTATTGCAACCCTATCAGATGTGCATTAGTTTGGTTTGATTCATGTTTTTTCCAGCAGTGCAGTGAATTAATCCTTCTCCAAAAGCAAATCCCATCAGCCCCCGATGAGATGGATCTTTACAAACCCTTTCACTTAAAAGTTATGATAAGAAGCAATGTTGAGACTTCAAAATGTTAATTTCCCTCTTTTACATCAAAACAGTTTTAAATGGTTCTTAAACTAGTACTTACAGATGTGTCTAATCTTCTAATAACTCTCCAGTTGGCCTTGTGAAAAAAGAGTAAAAACACTAGTTGTGCTTATATGTGCTCTTTCTTGACTTTTGTTCCTCCTCCCTGCTATTCTAGGATGGATACTGGGCAACTGATGTTTGTAATAAGCAACTTGGTTACATCTGTAAAAAGAAGCCTTCATCAAAATCCTCTGAAAAACAGACAATTGAGGACCCAGGCTGCCAGAAAGTAAATGCACTCTCATAAAAAATAGTATTTGAAAAAATATACAGGAATTAATTTACTGGTTCTTGCTGCTTTTGGATACTGTCTTTGTACATTATAGAAAACCTACTGTTGGGGCAACCTGGTCTCTTCCTGGTAGCAGTTTACTAATATATTTGCATTTTCCATTTTTATCTGAAAATTTTCAAGTTGAGTTTCATTTACATGCACATGAATACTGCCTTGCCCTCCACCCCCAGAGCCACCCCGAGGTTCAGAAAATCCTTGTGTCTGTATTGGTCAGCAGAGATCTCTGTAAGAGCAGGAAGAAGCAGGGCTGTTCTACTGATATCCCTCCTTTCCATTCCCCCTGAAAACAGGCACTGTCTGGATTCCTCTTGGCCCAGAAAATCTCCTCACTTCTTGTACTTGGGAGTGGCAGGGACAGCTTTGGGGATCTGTGCTGGTTTTGAATTGAGCTTGAATTCATTTCTGTATTGCAATATTTTGGTATTACATTATGTCTGACTGTGCAGCTCTGTAAAGCTGGAGCTGCAGGTCCCCCTGAATGAATCACAAGCTCCTTATAGACTCAGTTTGCATAATCTCAACCTTACAGAGCACTAGAAAGCCACAGTAAATAGCACAGACACAATTTTCTTTGAAAAGTCATGTATGCATAAAAGAGATGAAACCTAAAATCTTAATGTCATCCCTTAAGCAGAAAGGTCTCCTGTAGGAGTGAGCAGAATAAAAAAATATATTTTATTTATTAACAGATCATCCCAGTCTCATCTTAGTTTTAAAGTCAGCTGCAACAAATTGAGCATTGAATATTTATACACACAAGAGCAGAGAAATTTCTACATTGAAGTTTCTTTTAATTGCATATTAAAAATCTTATATTTGTCACAGGGTTGGAAAAGATATGGTTTTCACTGTTACTTGATGGGTTCCGGACTTTTGACATTCTCAGAAGCAAATAAGACATGTGAACACAACAAAGCTTATCTAGCTACAGTGGAAAGCAGGTGGGAAAATAACTTTTTAAAAAATCAATGCCTTTAATGGAGAAACTTGCAAAACTGTTACATTTTTTGAACCCATAAAAGTGTTTTATCAGCACTTTTTAAAAATTTTTATTGTAGCAAGGCATGAAAAGATTATCCATGCAGGAAAAATGAACCCAAACCAAACACCTCAATGTTGTAGGGTTATCTACTTAATCTATTATAGCAATTTTCAAATTTGGGGGCTTTTTGAGTTAAACAGTTTCCTCTTATCTTTCAATTCATAATTAAAGCAACTTATGGCTTTAGTGGGCTTTCTGGTCTTCTTTTTGATTGTTTGCTTGGGTTTTTTGAGGTTTTTTTGTTTGCTGGGATTTTTTTCCGTTGGAAAGTAGGTACTATAATTCTCATGTACTATTTGACAGGTGGTCTCTTGTTATGATAGGAAAGCTTTACTAAAAATATTTTTCTAAACTACCCTCTAAGCCAAATTCTGAATGAATGCAGGAAATCTTCTCCAGAACCTGCCCTCTCCCAATGCCAGAATGGATCATCTCTAATCTACCTACATCCTTGTCAGGCTTCAGGGGCTCCATGGCCCCTGAAGAGCATCACTGCCTTCAGAGGTGGTAGGTAGCAAAGCTGACAGCTTGGTCCTGTCTTGGTTGTCTCTTTGAGGTATCTGAAAGATATGGAAAGAGTGAAAAGAGTAAAATAGAACTAGAAGCCCATGAGAGCAGCAATTTGTGATGTTTCAGATGCATTCAGCTGTAAGGAGAAAATTGTCCCTTCTAAAATTCTTTTGACTGCAGTTTAAAGACTACCAGGGTTTTTTTCTGAATTTCACTGAGGAGCTGTTGTTTTTGGGGTCATGTTAACACCCCTCTGTTTGTATCACTTAGATTAACATTGCACACTAACAGCTGGTGAATGAGCACTGTTTCCCCCTGCAGAAATGAGCAAACCTTCCTGATTAGTCTGACGGGGCTGAGATCTGAAAAATCTTTCTGGATTGGTCTCTCTGACACAGAAGAACGAGGGAGTTTCAAGTGGACCAATGGAGAAACTCCTCATTTCACACACTGGAACACAGCAATGCCAGGTAAGCTCGGCATGGGCTCAACTCCTGCTGCTACAACTCACAGGTTGTGCTTTCATTCCCTTGGTTAGAAATTAGAGTGGGCACTATGTTTTGTGCCTGTAGCTGTAGGTGGCCAACACCATCAGACCTGTGCCTGACACCAGCACTGTCACAGCTGAGCTACAGGTGTTGGTCTAAGTCAGCCTCCTGCCACGGTGTGCAGAGACAGATTTTGATAGGCAGCATTGTGCAGGAATTAACAAGGTCCATGGTATCATTTTTTAAAAACCATTTTTAATACTAGTTAACAACTCATCAGCTTTAGAAAAATTATTCTGGACAGTTTTTTGCCCCACAATGTGCGTATGTGAGAAATGAGGAGTGAACATGCAGCTGTTTGGCATTTCATCAATACAACTTAGCAGCTGCCTGTGAGCTCTTACCTTCACACAGCTAGTAATGCCTTAAAACAAACATGTTGTACTTGCTATCACCCTTCTTGCAATTGAGTTACCTGGATATTGAGAGCTCCAAAGTACTTGTCAGGTCATCTATTACCTATGTAAATATAATCAAGAGTAATTTTCCCTGTGATTTCCCTGGGGAGGTAAGATAAGGAAGATTTGTTTTCTGAAGCTGCAAACTTCTGATCCTTGTAAACCTGTGTCTGTGGGATTCATTGGCCCATATCTGGCCTCTGACAAGTGCTATTAAAAATAGTTTTATATCTAGGATACTTTTTAATCTGCATAATCTTCATCTTTCTTTTCATAATCTTCAATGAATAAAAGCAAAGGTCTCATCCCTTAGACAGTAATTAAGGCCTTGGTTTTACTCATTTCTTTTCCACATCAAAAAGGGAAAGAGCAAGGCTGTGTTGTCATGGGAACTGGAGTTGCAGCTGGATTATGGGATGTTGTTAGCTGTGAGAAGACATCAAATTACCTTTGCAAACAGCGGGCAGCAGGAGTGCCACCTCCTGCTCCTCCAGGACAGGTCCCTGTGGCCACATGTGCCGAAGGCTGGGACAGAGCCTCCCGGGCAGACTCGTGCCTCAAAGTAAGTGTGTGTGCACCCTCACTGGGAGCCTCAGCACGGGCCAGGCCAGGGGACAATGCCCTGGTCACCATGATGCTGGGACATTATTTGGGAATGGTCTTCTCTTTGGTATGCAAGGCAAAAAAGCATGGGAGAAAAATCCATCAAATGTAACGGAAGCCAACAAAATGGAAAACGATGAACACAGAGTGCTAGAAATATCTTTTCCTTTATCTAAATGCCAGATGAAAACCTTACCTGATTTATTTGCTTCCAGGAGTTTGGTACTTCAGAAAAAAGCAGTATTACATCTCAAGAGCTGGCAGTGTCGTTTGCATAAGGCAATGTTTGTGAGAGACAACGTGCCCCTCTGACAGCCTTTTCTCACACAGCATCATACTCATAGCAATACTTTTGAATTTGGGTTTAGCTGGTGACTCTTCAGCAAGTAAAACCTTTGAGCATTCTCCTGTTTAGCTAGAAATGCCTTTAAAAGCTCTCCTTTTTGCAAAGGAAAAAAAGGAAAGAAAAGGCAATATAGATCAAGTAAATAAATCTCCAACATTGTTCTTCCATGTCTTTATATAAGCCTGCTCTCACTTTCTTTCCTGAGATTCTTTACCTGCTAAGAGATCAGAGCTGATTTTATTCCTGTATTTACAAGGGTCTGAGCTTCTATGTCACATGTAATTATCATTATATTGATTCTGCCATTTACCAAATTGTTAATTATCATTTCCATCAAATGTCAAGCATTCAGTCCTGTTGAACATATCCTTAGTCCAAGAATGTATGTTCTTCATGGCAGAAAGTGTATTTTGTATCTGTATGCTTGCACCTCAATACAAAAACCTCTTCCTCAGCCGGGGTCCACACTTGGCCAAACAGCTTTCTGCATCCATTCTGCTTTTTCTAGTCCAACTCACTGACTTACCCTTCCCCTTCCTTTTCTCAAAAATCTCCTGCTTTCTACTGTGAAATGCCATGGTTGAGTTTTCCATCTTTTTTTTGAATCTTTCAGTGGAGAAGTTTCAGTTAAGTTACAGATAAGATTTTTTTCTTCTCTGCACATTCTGATACCTTTTGTTCTCCTCAGATGCCTCTACTACTTTTGCCTTATTTTAAAATAGATGATGCTAAGAAAAAAATATTTACTCATCACATTTTTAATGCTTAATATTAGAGGCTTGGACAGGTGTCATGTTTTCTCACTCAAGATTAGAGTGTTGCTAAAATGATGCTGATTTTAATTACATATATTTTATAAGCTTTACAAATTTACTAATTTATTTCTACCTTTTGTTCTCATCAGTTTTTTGTGAGAGAGGGAAACCAAAAGAAGTCTTGGTTTGAAGCTGAAGAATTCTGTAGAGAAATAGGTGGAAATCTGGTCACAATCAATACAAAAGAAGATCAAATTTTATTATGGCAATTAGCTTCGTGAGTACTTGCATAAAAATTCCTTTTCATGTTCCTGCTATGGTAAATAAAAATTACTTAAAACATACCTGGAGCTGAACAAGTGAATGAATAAAAACAACCAAATTTAAATTACATTGATACAAAATTTTCTTCCAGAAATAGCATCCTGTAACATTGCTTTAAAAAAAACCCCAAACTTAATTATTTCAAAGAAGCTTAATATTTTGGTAATTTTCATCACAGGTTTTAGCAAGGCTATTTTCCAGATCTTATAAATTTCTTACATGTTAGTCCCCCTCCCTAAAGGGAGAAAATAAAATATTCAGCTCTAAATGGCATTTTGTAACTGTCTGCAATTCTTCTTTAACCAGCCCATTCAAAAAATCCCTCGAGTTACTGTGTAACTTAAACCAAAATTCAAGGACTTAAAGTGAAATTTTTCTGACTGTAAACTGAAAAATCCTGAAATCAAAAAGTAATTAATTTTATTTAACCTTTGGTAGCATTGTAGATGATGCTATGTCTTGCTCATGATGTATAAACTGTGACTTTATTTTCCCCTCAAATTAGACCAATATTCTGATTGTATTCCATGATGTCAAGACATGTCAATGACACATAATATACAGCTCTTTAACCAAAACTGTTTCACATAATGCACAATAGAGGTTTACTTTCTGAAACAGATTTAAAACTTTCTTATTGAGGGGTTTTTGTGATCTCACCCTCCTTAATTTTAAATATATTTCAGTATTGTGATCACCTGAATGTGGTTTTATTTGTCTGTTGATTCTGTTTGTTTAGAGCATAAAGTATTTGTGGAAGGAAATCTTTGCCTTATGCAGTGACTGAAATAATAATTTTATTTGGTCCATAGGCACAATGAGATAAATAGCATGAAATATTAACTGAACTACTTAAGAAGTGCTAAGAAGCAAATGAAAACAGTTGAAAATCAATTCTTACTATTTTTATTAGTTAAATAAACATATATTTATGCTTTACTTTTGCTAAAGCCTCTGCCTTTGAACTTGTACTACAACCAAGAGCTGTGCTGCATCCACAGGGAGGGGAGCCTGAGCTGGCTCTGGGCCACATCACATTAATTTATTTTTAAATATGAGAAGCCTTAGCCCAACAGAGCACTATCAACTCCCTGACAGAGTGTAGGGAGTGAGCTTGGCTTTGGGCCACAGCTCCCAGTTCAGGTGTGACAGAAAGCAGAAAGCAGGGTATTTTTGTGCTTTTCAGGATTTATATCTCTCTTTCTATGCTTATATATCTATATTGTATGAATTATTTTAGGGATAAAGGACTGAACACTCAGGCTTTCTGGATTGGTTTGTTTCTCTTAAATCCTGATGAAGGATTTGCCTGGATTGATGGCTCCCCTGTGAGTTTTTATTTGCTGGATATTAATTGACTTTCTGTCTTTTAGAAAATATATGCTTTAGAATATATGCTGAACAGCTGCAGTGCACTGTCTTAACACAGCATTGCCAGTGTTTCATCCCTGGTACCATGTTGTATCCCACCTTAGACAGTCTGTGCCCTTAGACCTTCACAGCCTCCCAAAATGGGCACTGCTGTTTGGCAGTACAGGGAAGTCCAGTTGCCAATTTTGTAAAACAAGATAAATATGACTCTCTCTGTCCATCAGTTGTTCTTTCATCAAACACATGGTTTTCTGTACCATGTAGTCTCTGCACCTTCTTCAGGGAGTGGTGGGGAAAGTAATCTGACCATCATGACCTTCACAGCCCTCTCAGGTCTGTTTGAACTCCCACTGATCCCATAAAAAAGGAACTTGAGATGATGAGATACTGAAATTGTGTCACAATGGCAATCTCAATTTCTTCTATTCAGCTCGAATGACACAGTAATTGATATGTATTTCTAACACAGGTAACTTATGAGAACTGGGAGGAAAATGAACCCAACAACTATGAAGAACTTGAACATTGTGTTATGTTTAATAGATCACCCCAAATGCGCTGGAACGACTTGCGCTGTGAACATTTACTTAATTGGATTTGTGAAACAAAAAAAGGTATTGTTACTTCCCCATTTAATTGGAGCAATAAACCCAAGCTTTAAAAGCAAGTTGTATGGTTTTAAACAAATTGAAAGGAAGAAAGACACTGGGAATTGTTAATTTTAAAACCAGTTGCAGTGAAGGCAACACATAAAGTATGTGGAATGAATTGAAATATTTCTCTTGTCCTTGGATGCAGGAAGTTAGAGTATTCCTATTACTTCATCTCTAGTTTTATCTCTTTCTGCCGTGGGTTGAATAAATTTTTGAAGCAAAGGTACTTATCCCTCTCCTGTTATCTATTCCCTCTATTCCTATCTACTTCAGGCTTACCCAGGATAGCTGTAGATGCAGAACACTACAGCTCTTTCTACAAAAGTGAAAAAAGCTTTGCTTCCCACTGTGAAACAACTAATGGGAACCAAGAGAGGGATCAATTGTTGTAGGAACCAGCAACTCTGAAAACCCAATCTGATCAAAAGTGGAGACTGGTGTAACCTTGATGTACTCCTGCATCCACCAGCTTTGCCTGGAAAGCAGGGCCCCAGTGCCAAAACTCCCACACCTGGTGTCAGGCTCACAAAATGGACCTGACAGATGCTGGGGTGCCCAACAGCAGGACGTGGAAATTTGGTCTGCTTGGGCTGAAGAGTGATGGCTGATAATGAAAGAACTTGTTTTGCTCTCTCAATCCTATTTCTACATCCCTGCTTCCTGGTTGTAAACTGAGTATTTGTACACATTTTCATGGAGAAGGAGATTTTTAAAACCTTCTTGAAATGAAAAGAAAGCTGGATGCACACAGGGAACTACTAAGAGGCACAATAGGAAGGGGAAGGGATAAGCAGTTATATAAAAACACAGAGTGCATGTAATATTTGATGACTCTACCAACAAAACCCTTGAAGGGTGAATAAGGCACCATGGTAACACTGAAAAATTGCTTAACCAAAAAGGAAGAATCAATTCCCTTTTGGTAAATTAGTCACACAAATGCACCATCCAAGCCTTGATTTCTGCATACCAGCTCAAAGCAGCACATCCTGTGCAGCCCCTTCTGGCACACTGAGCATGCAGCTTTGTATGGATGTGTCTCTCTGCTCTTGGTGAGATTACTCAGGAGGAGCCCAGAAACTACGAGACAAAGACTCTGATCAGTTTATCTTGAACCTAGGTGACCTTTCAAAAGCAAGAAAAAAATCAAGAAATTAATCTTGTAATTGTGAATCTACATTACATGATGATCAACATGAGAGAAGACGTGCTCAGATGTGAACTCCCTCATGTTCCCTTAAGATTCATGTTTACAAAAGATATTCCATCTTTCTGAAAATAATGAATGTTACAGTTATGTTAGGATTAAACAGTAAAATCAAAATGACCAGAAGTATATAAATTAATAATGAAGATATTGAAATAATTTTAGCTCTATTGTTCACTAAAAACTTAAATTTTTAAATGATCCCAAAATAATTTAACTTGATTTTTCATTTTTTTGTTTGTTTTTTGTTTATTTCGCATCAAACTATTTCTGTCATTTCTATAATACTGTGTTTCTCTCCATCAAACCACAGTAGAAATGGAGCAAGCTAAGAGAATTAGTAGTACAAAATAACAGGCATTCATATGAAAGCAGAGCTTCCTTTGAGAGGCTGTAGCTGGCTTTGGGAATACCAACAGCTAATTTGCTTCCTCCTGGTTCAACCTGTAATCAGAAACTTGAGTTTGATATCTATTGGCTCTCCAGGATTCTTAAAAACAGACTGTCCTAGTAAAAGCCAAGTTATCAGGAAAGGAAGAATTTGTTGACACACTGGAAGTTACACCTGACATTAGCAATAAACCAACATTAAATTTTCATTACTTGTGGATAGTCTACTGCTATGTAGATAAGCTTTAGAATTTACTATATAGGATTATGTTGTTTGTCTCTAGTCCCAAGAATATAAAAAAAAATTGATCACAGAGTGTCAAGTGAAAATGCTAAAATAAATTTTCAAAGTAATGTTTGCTTAATCTACCATAAATTTAATGTGAATCTTGGATTTTGTGATACAGTGCTTTTGGATATACATTGCTGTAAAGTACATATTTTTCACAGCTAAATGTTTCTAAATTATACACAATTTAATATGACAGTATGTGCTCTAAATTCTTGAAAATGCATTAGCCAATTCATAGTTTGCTTGGTGGGTTTGTTTTTTTCCCTCTCTATTTTACAGAGCATGTAAACTACATAAAACAAATATCTCTGATTTTTTTTTTTTAATTTGGGATGTTGCTTATGACAATCTTCTATTTTACAGGTACATTGGTAAAACCTGAAGCAAACTACAAACTTGGTAGGTTTTTCCTCTTTCACAAAGATTACTGTATAATTTTCAGACGTTGTAAAGACCAGATAGGAAGATACATACGATTCTTTATATTTCAGACTATCAGCTCACCAATGATGGATGGATTATATATGAAAATAAGCAATACTATTTCAGCAAAGAACATGTCCATATGGAAGAAGCACGGAGAATTTGCCAGAAGAACTTTGCGGATCTTGTTGTCATTGAGAAAGAAAGCAAAAGACGATTTCTATGGCAATATGTAAGCAGAAAGCCCATTAATTATAGCTGAATTTTGAAACAGAGCAGGTGATAAAACACAGGGAACATACTAAATATTGAGCAAGGCTGGAGTCCTAAGCTTGTCTTGCATTACTTATTTATAGAGCATCAGATTTGTTCAGGACCTGTAAAAAATGACTTTTGTTTTTAATAGGTAGAGGAAAATGGCATACAAATATTAAAGGTGCTGCAAAGGATAGTTCAGGCCTAGATTATCTTTTCTAATATATGTAGTGTTCAGCACAGTGATAATTGCTTTCCTGTCCAGGGAGTTTCTTACTCCAAGATGTTCCATATATTATCTGTTGCCTGCTTGAAACCTGAGTCTGAGCCTACAATAGTCTCACATGAGGCTCAAATTAAAAAAAAAATTTAAAAAATCCCAGGCATGGTTAATTGGCTTTCAGATTTTTGCTTGACATTGAGGAACAGTTTAGTGCTTAACTGTTAATTACTTTTATTTTAGATTTACACAAAACACAGAGGAAAATCATATTTCATTGGCTTAGTTGTCAGCTTTGATCAGAGGTTCAGGTGAGTAAAAGAAAACTGGTAATGGACAACAAATTATGGCAATTTCATCTCAGGCAGCAATTCTGTGTGCTTTCATTTTACAAGTTAAAAACTTTTGTGCAATTGACTTCTGGATAGTTTTCAGGCGATGTCTCAGATCCAGTGTTATATTGTTCTATATTTAAGCAGAGAAATACATTTTCCTTCTAAATTTGGGAGAGCAAACCCAATAAAAATTCATAGCTAAGACACAGCTCACTTATTGCCTTACACCGTGAGAATTGCAACCCTGCATAAATAGCGAGGAGAAGCAGGAAATTTTAAGATGTTATTTACCTGATCCACTTTTGACATCAGCCCAAGGGTGAGATTTACCCTGACCAGATCTCCAATGGCTACAGAGGAAGCCCAGGAGGTTTTGATAAAATATATATGTAAGGACTAAACCAAATTAATCCCAAGTGGTTCAAGTTATGTGAGCTGGAAGCAAGAAGCACAAGCAGCATCTACTCCAACAACTTTCTGAGATTTCTGGCAGGAAACTTGTTTTAACAATCCGTTTGTAGAAGGCTTTCAGGATGACACCTGTCTGGGATGTGAGGGATGTCCACACTGCCTTGAAAGCGGCAGTACCACACAGATGAGAGGCAGCAGTGCTGTGGCTGTGTCCCCTCCAGGATATGCAGAACCTTTGCCTTCTGGTCACTGCTAATGCCTTGTTTATCCCTCCGCCCAAACACACCTTGTCACTGATTGCTGAGACGTCTGTCTGGCAGCCACTGTCCTCTTGTTTCTTCCAGATGGCTGGATGACACCCCAGTGAATTACGTTGCCTGGGCTCCAAATGAACCCAATTTTGCAAATAATGATGAAAATTGTGTGATAATGTCAGATTTTGGTGAGTAAAATAGCACCAAGGAATATTTGCATATATATATATATATAAAATCAAAATTAAAAATGTTTGGTACATACTTAAATTTGAGGCTACCCCACAAAGAGGTAGTTCAACAGTACTGACATTTTTTTATATTTTAACATGCTCAAGTTTGAAATTGTGTCATCACTTTTAGGAAAACAGCATACTGCAGAGGAAGGAGGAGTGTATTTGGGTAAATGTGTTTCCTTTGTGCTTTATGAATGCCATCTGAGCCTGACTGCTGTAGTGGTTGCACAAGAGTTTTTCTGTATTCTGTAATCTTTACAACAATTATCTGTATTCCATTTCTTTACAGGCTTTTGGAAAGACATAAGTTGTGGTATTGAAAATGCCTTTATCTGTGAAAGGCACAATTCAACTTACTCAGGATTTGCTCCCACTGTACTTCCACCTCTGGGAGGATGTCCCGAAACTTGGCTTTTGTTTAACAATAAGGTACAGTAATAAATCTCAGCCATATTTAGCAGATTTGCTCTAGGTGAAGAAAAACAACTATTCCTTTTCTCTCATTAAATAAATTCTCTTTCTTTAAACATCAATTTAATAAGAAGTATGCTAGTCAGCAGTGCAGTGAATTTTCAGATTGGCAAATTTGTAACTATTAAAAAAAAAGGTGATTTGAATGTTTGAAATTATAATTTTTGCAAATATCTCTGCCTTTAGCCATAGTTCTCTAGATTCTAGACACTTCCGCTTATTTTAGGCATACTTACTGCATGGAAATCCTGATCCATTATCCTCATCTGTAGATATAACCCTGTTTTTCTGAGTAACAAAGATGAAAAAATGAAAGGTTACACTTTTTATAAGTAGTTGGCCATCACAGCAACTCATCTTAAGCTGAGTAACACAAACTGCAATAAATGTCAAATCAAATATAAAAGTCAAGCAAGCATTGGTTTCTGCTAAGTTAAACAAAAAAAAATGGACATGAACTTTTAATAAACCCCAACAAACAACAGAGGAAAACCACAAATCAATTCCACAATGCAATCAATAGGAAAAGCTTTTATGCATTCAAAGGGCATGAAGAGGGAGGAGCCATATCTTCTGTCCCTCAGAAGATACACAAAAAATATTTTACACTGGTATTCAGAGAAAACACTCCTTCAGAAGGGCACTTCTTCCTGACACTGTTCCAGTCATGTGAGTTCTCACATGAGCTGAGGTTTTAGCACTCCTTCTCTCCAGCACTCATATAATTGAAAAAACTTGACCTGAGAGATTATTACCTCCAAATTATCACAATCAGGAAATAATTCCAGTCCCTCAAAAATTCTGCTTTTCAGTAATTTAATTCCTCAAAATCTTTTGATGGTGGTCTGCTCTTTCCCAGCAGTGACCCCACATGACTGTAAGGGATGTACACATATCACTGGGACTGCCTAGGTCTCCTTCTTGCTGGCTGGCAGTATTTGTGTTTCAGCAGATCCCCCATCTGCAGCTCTTTGCATGCAGGGACTAGCATGGAATTAACCCGAAACAATGGTTTCAATATTCTTTGGCATCCAAGTCTGTCTAATCCTTTACTCTCTCCACAGTGTTATAAAATATTTGGATCCAGAGAAGAGGACAAACTAACTTGGCATTCAGCAAGAAGTGTTTGTAGAGAATTAGGGGGAAATTTGGCCTCTATACACAATAATCAAGTGCAAGGTATGACACCTGAGCCTTACAGTACTATGTATGAAGCCACATATTTCACTATCTAGTAATGAGGTTGAACCTACCTCCAGACCTAAATACCACAAACTATGAAGGAAGACCTGCAGGTGTTTGATCCAGAGGGAAGACTGGAGTGAGATAATACTTCCCTAGTTTTGGCAAACATCTTATGGGGAAGGAATAGAATAATCTGTTCCCCATGGTCTTGGAAGATGGGATAAATTGTAATAGTTTATAGTCATGAAATGCTCACAGATATTCAAGTTAGACATTAAACAGACATCCATCAGAAATTACATATCTGCAGTTGATGCTACCTTGTGAAAGACAATCCCTTTGAAATCACTTCTCACCCTGATTTCTATAATTTTTCCAAGAAGCCTAAATAATAAATCAAACTGTTTCAATTTGATTACCCATTGTAATTATTTTCTTTTACCATTAGCTCACAGCCTAACAATACTGAGGTTGGTATTTCCAATCTATTTAGAAGATGACTGGTTGTTGTTTTATTTGTAGTTTGATTTACATGGAATTTGAAGAAAGGAAACTCCTCAGGTACTTTATATTTTATTTTTAAAATCCATTTTCTATCAGCTTTCCTCACCTTCCACCTAAAGGACGTTGCCAGTGAAACGTGGATTGGGCTGAATGACATTAACAATGAACATAGATATCTTTGGACAGATGGAAGCGTTTTTGACTATTCAAAATGGGCCCAAGGATTCCCAATCAGGGATAAATTCACCGTGGTTGACTGGAAGTACATTACAATAGAGGTAAACAGAAATAAATCAGAAAATTCATAACGTAAATGACATCAATGTTTGAGTAACCAGCATGACTTCTGCCTCAGCTAAGATCTGATCTTTAATAGCTTAAATCAGAAGAGAACTGAAATTTCAAAGATCAAATTTTTAAAGCTACACTGAAAAAATTAACAGGCCTGTTTAAAATCTATGTTTACTCACATTACTTTATCAAAATCTAAAAATGCAGAAAAGGAATCTTTACTGCTAGAATTAATTACACTCTCTATAATTGTTATATTTTATTTCATTATTATATTGAAAATATTCAGTGTTACTAGTTGTGATTTTTATTCTGGTTTATGATTTTTCCTTGTATGATGTGAATCCATAAGAAACTTCAACAAATTCAGTGCAGATTATCATTAACTCCATAGTAAAAATAACTTCAATACATTCCAAGGAATTTTAATAAACTGGCAAAAGTTCTTGCAGCAATCTGCCAATGAAACTACATTTGTTTAAGATATATAATAGAATGCATTTGATTTCCAACAAGCAATACATGAAAAGAGACAGGAAATTAGAAAAGAGAGCTATTAACTTTTTATCCTCACACCTATTTCTATTATTTTGCTGGAAATTTTGCACTTTATCAGCAACAATCCCATTTTTTATTTGTTCCCTAGACTGATTGCATTGCAATGACAAAAAGATCTGTAGATGCTGCAGGATTATGGAAAAATACTGACTGCCAGCATAAAAAAAGCTATATTTGCCAGATGGACAGTGGTAAGTTTTATGTTTCAGTTTGGTTTGTTTGTGTTTTTTTTCTTGCAAAACATTTACGGAACAATTCAGACTCAGAGAAGCTGACCTCACCTACCCTGCAGACATCCACACTTAAACCAGGTGCCTGGCACATAAACATTTTGAAGATAGGATTCACCTTCTTAATCACAAAAGAAATGCCCAAACCAGGTTCCTTGATGGTCTATGCTTTCAAAATGCCTGTTTTCCCTTTTAACAGAAAAGTGTAGTCTTCTGTGCTTCAACAAAATTATCACAGATATCACGGCCTGAATGCAGTTATTTTGCAAACACAATACAAAAAGACAAATCCCTTGGTTACTTCCAGCTGGGGGTTAACCAAGGCAAATTAAACTGATTCGTTTGCTCATCAGTCTCCAGCAAAGTCTCCATATCACAAGAACAGCAATACTCAGAGGGCAAAAGTTCCAGCTTGCTTCACGAAGCCTTAGTGGGGGAGACACATCCGGAGCACAGCTACACTGCACAATCTACAGGAACAAAAACAGGGAACTGATGAGCAGCAAGTTAAAATAGAGGAAGAAGACACAGCTGGGTCAAATGATTCACAGCTGTCCCATACAAGTGCAGAAAGCTGCATGAGGATGGCACTAGCAAAATCAATTGCCAGGGCATCCTCAACAGTGACTGAACATAAAGTTAATGTCTTTTCTTCTGTCCCCATCACTAGCTTTAGGCCCTTGCCTTCTACTTCTGCACATATAATTGTAGGTACAAACACAATTTCCTTTTTCACTTCATTCTATGAGGGCAAGATATAGAAGCACCGTCATAAAATTTGCATAGAAAGAAATTATTTTGAGACTGAAGTGGTGTGAAGATCCTGTCCTGTGCTCATGCCTGGGAAAAACTTCACCTGCACTGAGGTGGAGGGACATGGAGAGCTCTGGGGGGAGGATCATGGTGGAACCAGTATTTACACAATTTCATCTGATCAGTTTGTGTCTACATATACACGCAGCTCATGCTGTGCCTCTCTCTAATCCCTGAATATATTTTTACACCATAATTTAAAATAATTCCAAACTGCCATTAAAATAAATCTTTTTGGTTTTATGTAAGAAATGCAGTTACTTGATGCTTGTGCTGCCATGCTATATTCCTCTGTTACACAAAAGCAATACTGCTATCCAGCAGCTAGTAGTTTTTCACTGTTTTGTTCTCTTCCTTTCAAATTTGTACCTCTTTCCTACAGAGCCTGAACTGTTTCACCCCACAAGTGCTCCAGATTCTGATTTTGTCCATTATGATAACAGCAGCTATTTAATCATTCCTTCTAAAATGAATTGGGAAGAAGCAACAAAAACATGCAAGGAGAAATCTTCAGAGCTTGCCAGCATTTTTGATTATTACAGTAATATATTCTTGCTGCTGCAGGCAGTGCAGTATGGAGAGCCCTTATGGATTGGACTCAACAGCAATGTGGTAAGATTAATAAATTCATAGTTGGTAAAGTTAAATGCTGCTACTATTAGCACGAGAACTGTAGCATGAACAGATTTAGAAACCTTGGACTGGTGGACAGTCTCAGAAGGATGAAAACCTTTGGTGGTGCTGGACTGTCTTCACTAGTTCTGTGTGAATCTTGGAAACTTAGGTAAATATACCTGGTAGATTTTCAGATGGCCATTTTTAGGACAGGTGACCACTACTCAAAGGGTCCAGGATGGTCAGTAGAGCTAATGCCTCAGGACCATTGGCAGCTGTAGCTTTTCCATTACATTTTGGTTCAGAAGGGTTCATGGGCCAAACCACACACCTTTGAACACACACTCTTTGTTACATCTGCTAGGTCCCAAAGGTTGAAATCAGTAAAAGCTATACTGTATCAGAATACTGAGATGCAGGTCTACCACTTTTTAAGGGAACACTTGAGTGATAATCAGTCTTATTAGCTCTGTGACTGATTGTGACAAATTGAGCTTCAGCTTCCCTACTGAATATGCATTTGCTAAATGCACATAATTATCATGTTTCTATTGCATTATCCTTTGATCTGACTAAACCACTTTTATAATAAAATGAGCTTTTCATCAGAATTAATCACCTTAACTCTTCATTGTTTTTTACTAATTGTGATTCTACACTGATATATAACATAGCAAAACATGTCAGAAATTCAGTATCCCTAGGGATACTTGTAATAAATATTGTGTAAAAATAGCATTTCCAGTTATATGATGCAGCAACAATCGTCTACATTGTCTGAGAAAACGAACTTGTTGCTGACAAAAACATATTTCCACTATTCTAACAGTATCATCTCTGCCCCCACCACCAGAAAAAGTGCTCACATAAGTGATGGGTACTCACCAGCCTTAAAATAAATCCATCCACTTGTACAAGTACACAGGGCATCTCTACCCAAACCAAAATAATAGTGTTTCATTCCACTTGATAACTAAATTTGTTGCTTTTAGTCATAGCAGTATGATTTAGAAAGCAGCTAAAATTTCATTTTGATCAAGCTTGAATCACCAGGCATTCCCCTGGTACTTATAAACAAGCCATCCTTGATCTTGCAAGGTCAAGCTTTCTGGTTTCTCCTGTTCCCCAGGCAGTGAGTGACCTTGCCCTGATGATGCCCTGAAGCTCAGTATGACCTTGTGCATCTCCCTTGACACAGACACTGGAGTGAGATCACATCCCCCTCTTCTTAATGTCAGCAACATACTGCCTGAGTCTTTTCGCTTTTCCTTGTAATTCTTCTGATTCTTCCTGGAAAAGAAAAAAGGGGAGGCAGAAAGACTAAACAACGACTCAAGAATTCCTGCTCAACATATTTCTCTTTTGCTTCTTAAAGAGTTATAATTTCCTCAGGTTCCCCATAGCGATAGCTGCAGTTTACTCCTGAATGTTTCTCCTCAAAACTGCTGGAGCTTAGAATCCTTGTTTGACAGCCAATTCTGAGACCCATTTCCTCTTCAGCTTTCCACAGGTTTCAGGATCTTATGGCCTTGCTGCTTTTCATGCAGATCTGACTCTTCTGGGCTGGTGATTCCACCTTATAGCATTGTCCAACAAGGGACTGAGTCCCCAGGGAGCATTATTTAGCCTTCAAAACACTTCCATGGGCTGTTCCAGCATGGGAGCCATACTGCTGGGTCTGGTTTTTATGTTGCTGAGTCCTGATTTAGTTAGTATTTTAACAGGCACACAAACTGAGCTGCCTGTATCACTCTGAAAATGTGCTCCTGTATAACAGCACTTAGCTGAAACCGCAGATGAGAGTTTAGAACAGTTATGTCAAATGTCTGTTTCGATTTTAGAGTTATGGATATTATAGATGGACCAATAAAAGGAAAGTAAGTTTTTCTGAATGGGACTATGGAGAACCAAAACAGAAAATAGCCTGTGTTTATCTAGCCCTCTCTGGGACCTGGAAAACAGCACGTTGTAATGAGAAACATCTTCCAGTCTGCAAAAAATCTGAGGGTAAGCAACGGCAATGACTTTTGGTTTTATGGAAGAAAGCTTGCTTTATCTGCTTGGACTGAATTACAAATTTCTAAGTATATATCAAAGAATAATAAGGCTGAGCATGTAATGTCAATACCTTTCTTTTGCATGACAAAGTTTTATTTTGATGGAGTTGGCATTGACCAGCCAAGATCCTGCCATTTTACTGGACTGGAGTGCTAGCTCCCATGGGAGCAGACAAACAGATCACAAAGTTTGTGGGAACATCAGGCATTTCACGTTAAGTCAGAATGCAAAACGTTTTGCTGATTCCAAAAACTGGATACAGGAGATAGAGTGGTATCTGATAAAAAATGGTCTGTTATTGGCCCCCAAAAAAGTTCATACTTCATAGGGTCTCTCTGGGTAGCACTGAGGTGCTACACAGTAAAACTACAGGCAAACCTCAGGATGAGTCTGGGCTTTTTTTTGCTTTCTCATTTGTGTTACAGTAACATCTGTTAGCTCTAGTGACACATACTTAATGGAAAGGCAGAGTTTATTTGGGGATTTTTGGATTTGTTTTTGTTTTATTTTTGTTTTAGGTTGGTTTGGGGATTTTGTGGGTTTTTTTTTGATTGGTTTGTTGTTTTTAAATTTCTTTTCTAGGCCATGCTCTGAACTTCATAGCTGTTAATTGGCAACTTTTGTTTTAAAAACACAAGTACTAAGTAACAATGTAGCCATTTCTTTCCATTATGTCATTACACATAGGAAAATGAGGAGTTACTAAATAAATATTCAATGAGCCTCAGGTATATATAATGATATATAGTGATGTTCAAAAATTTTATGTTAGGATTGTTATCTTGAGGAAAATATTAAATGGGAAATTTCTATTATATGATATTTGATTTAAAATAAAACTTATTTGAACTTCTTGGGAGTTTGGGAGTTTTCTAGGTGTGGTCTTTTCCTGCTTTTTAATGCTTCTTTCATTTATATAAATTTGTTGGTTATAACAAAATAAACTAGAACCAAAATCCTTGAACACTCAAATATCCTTGAGACAGTCCAAGTTTGATTTAGTTAGGAACACAGAAGAGCACAGGTTCACACTGAGTCATCCTCTCACAGCTGACCAGTCCTGATAATTGTTGTCACTCTTGACTTAGACACTGATATACTTTAAATACTCTTAAGAAAAGGTGGTTTTAATATTTGATTTCATATATGAGGAACTGCAATCCTTACTGAATGAAAGCATTTATAGTATCTCATTTCTTCTAGATGTACTTCCTTCTGATCCTCCCCAGGATATTGGACAATGTCCTGAATCTGATCACATATCTTGGATTCCCTTCCGAAGCCACTGTTATAACTTCAATGCCAATGAAATGAGCTGGGCTCAGTCTGTGGCTCAGTGCATTCAATCAGGTAATTATTATTTTTACCCAAATATAGATCTTCAATCTTGACATTAAAAAGAAGTCTTGAGAAAAATCTTGAAAAGTAATAATGCAAAATCTACAAATATTAAAAATAAGGAATAAATGTCTCATTTTTTATTGTTATGTGCTTTTCACTTATGTTGAGTTTAAGGTGATTCCTTTCTTTTATCTTTCCAGCTGTGCTTATTTCTTCTTCTATTTCTACATTCACAAAATTTCTCCTTTTAGTAAGATCTTAAATTTTATGTGATTTGAAATAATCAATTTGTTTCTGGCCTTATCTCTCATTTTCCATATCTCTCTCTACACAATAGGCAAAGTAAATATCATGATAACAATCATTCATTTTTAACACAGACTGTGTGATTCCGAAAGGAGTTGATCCAAAAGGGGTTGCATGTGCTGCCTGGTAGCCCTTGCTCTATCAGCAAGGCTCCCTGGCAGACTGCAGAGCCTGGAGAGGGAAAATGCTTCCCTTCTCCTTGGAGACATCTGTTCCTGGCCAAGACCAGGAGCAGTACCTTGGCACTCTTTCACCTTTGCTGCTGAGTCATCAGCTATCTCATCCATGTCTCAGGAGGCCAGGAAAGAGAGAGAAAAAAAAAAAAAAGATTGTTTGTTTTATAGCTTTGTAGATCCTTATAGTCCTCTTACTCTTACACTGCCACAAAAATTAATAAATCAGTTTGAATTGCAGATTTGTTTGTTGCACAGATTTGCTTGTTGCGCAGTATTTCATGAGACATATTATTCTGTCAAACCATGAAGAACAAATAAATAATCACTCATAATTCCTATGAACAATATCATCCAATCACTTGAAAATACAGTGCAATTTACCTGGTATTTAAAAGTCATCACCTTCTTTGTATCTTTCACTTCAGATGACACCTCTCACTGTCGGTGCTGCTCCCCTACAGCAGGACACTGCCTTTGGTCTCTATTTAAATTCTTCTTCACTCCCTACCAGCAGGAGAGGTTTTTTTATTAATCTGTTTCAAAAGCTGTAACTATGTTGGGGATATCTCCAATCATCCTCCGTTGTTTTTTTTTTAATAGGTGGTATGTTGACTTCTGTAGAAGATCTGGATGAATCAAACTTTTTAATAGAGCATGCAGATTTATATGCAAGCAAGATTAGTGGCTTTTGGATAGGAATATACAGAAATGTAAATGGTAACTATATTAAGTTCTATAAATAATCATAAACAAACTTTATTAAATGGACAAAAATATTAATAAATAGGTTTTAAGCAACCAATTGAAGTACAGTAGAGTTCAGACCTGGGTCCTCTCTGAGGTTGTCTCCTATTCCTGGTCTCTGAGAAAGCTTTTCCTCTTGGGGAAAAAGTCCTGACTGGCTCTCATTTTCTCTTGGCTGGGGAAGACTCATGTGGGACCTGTGGGAGTCCAGCCAAAGCCCCCAGTATCAAGCTTCTCTGTGACTATATATGGAGAAAATTAGGCGGCTTGTTAAACCGTACAGTAGAAAATATGCATCAAGAAGAAAACACTGTTATCAGATTAAAGCCAGTCAGAAAGGTTTTTATTTTAGATTATTTTCAGCCCATTGAAACATTTAGAGCTTATGAAAAAAAAAGTTTTAATTTTAACTAAACATCTGTTTAAGCATTACAGTAAAAACGTCTTGATTTTCATTGTGTGCTGCTGAAATAATAATTCAGAAATTCTTCAAAAAAAGTCTGAATTCAGCTTTTTCCAGTTTGAAACTTTAATATCCTATGCAAACATGTGGAAAAACAGAAATGAAAACTAACTTATGACTGATAAATCTGCAAATCATAATTTGGGAAAGCAATTTTATTGTTTTGGAGACGAGAATCAAATGAGATAAAATGCATCAGAAAACAACCACAGATGGAAGAAAGTAATATTTCTTCTGAAGAAGAAAGTAGTATTGCTTCATTAGCCAGAATGAAGTACTGTTATGTACTATTCAGTAAGGTGAAGACATTTCCTGTGGCTCTATTAGTGTTGATATTAACATTTGCCACACCAGGGCAGCTGCTTTGGCAAGACAACAGTGCCTTGGACTTTGTCAACTGGGGTGATGGGCAGCCCTCGGGGGGCGAGCTGGCTTTCTGTGTGGAGCTGTCTGCAGCCACTGGCTACTGGAGTGTCCTGCCTTGCTCTTCCCAAAAGGGCTTTATTTGTAAGAAGCCAAAGAGTAAGTGACTTCTTTAGTATTCCTTCTTTCCATTTATGGCTTTATTTCAGTAGTAATAGTATGAGCATTACTAAGGACTGACACAAATGTTTCAATGTTCAGACAAAAATAATACGAGTGTATTTTATTGTTTGCCCTGTTTATGATTTCTTGTTTCGGAATCTCAGATTTTCTTACATTCTGCGAGGAATATCCAATTAATAACTAAAAATCATAAATGTTTCCTGAAAAAAAAAATAAAAATCAAACTTCTTTATTGTTTTGTTCCCCTCCAGCATAAACACATTTTTTTCTACTGACATTCCTATTTTCTTGCTATGGAACAAGAGTACCATCAATAATTTGCTATTCTTCCTCTTGCTGTACTATGATACATGCTGTTCCAGCAAAAGATGGATGAAGCAATTCTATTTAAATAGGAGCGGAAGTGCGATCCAGAGAGCATATAGTGACCTTTGAAAAGAGTAGAAGTGTTTTGGTTAGCTTTTTTTTTTTTTTTTTAATATTGTGTTTCTGTATAACCGAGCACCATCTGCTTTAGTCAGGAAGTAGAAATATCAGAATATTGTGAGCCAAGCAACCATGTGGTATTTTGGAGTTTAACTGTTAATTCTGCAGAAAAGTCCAATTTCCTGCCCTGTTTCACAACCCCAAGGTTCAGGATGTTTCTGAGGTTCAGTCCTTTCCCCCACCAAAGCAAACCTGCAGCTGGCAGGGGAAGCAGCAGTCACAGCATTGTTCAGGGCATGTTCTCAAAAGGAAAATTCTGCTTTTAGGACAATGCCTAGTTTTCTTTGCAGGCCACAGACACTGCTGATGGACAGTTCTCTGTTACCAGATATCAGAAACTGACTGTCACCACACACTTTATTTGATGGGTTTGACTGTGAGTGGCCCTGATGTGCAGTGCCAAAGTACAGAGGTATTCCCTGACCCCGCGTTCTCCAGCAGAGCAATGCTCCAGCAAAATCAGATCTTTATTCCATTGCAGCCAGCTCTGCAAATTTAGCAGCTGCTTTTCCTTCGTGCTCGCAAACACACCAGAGCCCAATGCACAGCCCTGGTTCTGCTGCAGCAGCCCGGCTCCTGGCGCATCCCACACTCCCCGGCATCCCGCCGCCCACCGGGAGATCCGTCCTTGCCGTGCTCATCACCCAGCAGCTCCCAGCAGCTCCCAGCCAGCAGCTCTCAGTAGCTCCCAACAGCTCCCAGAAATCCCAGAGATCCCAGCAGTTCCCGGTAGTTCCCAGCAGTTCCCACCTAGCAGCTCCCAGCATTTCCCAGTAGCACCCAGCAATTCCCAGCAGCTCCCAGCAGCTCCCAGTAGCACCCAGCAGCTCCCAGCCGGCAATTCCCATCAGTTCCCAGTAGCCCCCAGCAGCTTCCATCACTTTCCAGTAGTTCCCAGTAGCCCCCAGAAGCTCCCAGCCAGCAGCTCCCATCAATTGCAGCTCCCACCCAGCAGCTCCCAGTAGCTCCCATCCGTTCCCATCCGTTCCCAGCGGCTCCCAGCAGCTCCCAGCAGCTCCCAGCAGTTCCCAGCAGTTCCCAGCCGGCCGCCGGGAAAAGCCTTGCAGACGGCGCCCTCTGTGCACCGCCGCCGGGAAAAGCTGCACAAGAAAGCTTGAGTTTATGCATGTGATTATGGATGCAAATAAATGATGGTAAATTCAGACCTGCTGGGTCTCAAAAGAATTATGTGTGACACAGGAAAGTTCAACTGTCCTCAGCAGTCGATCAAGTGTTCCCAGTCCCCACAAGAAACAGACCCGGTGAAAAGGGCAAGGTTAATTAATTGGGGAGAAGAGAGTCCTCTTCAGTCAGAAACTACTACTAGTACTTAGCTTGGAGATATTCTGTTTATTACAAAAGAAGCAAGAAGGGGAATTTAATATGCAAAGCGCTGCAGGTTTATTGAAGGGAATATGGGGTTAAAAATCTTCCACACCTTTTCAGTTCTCCTAATTTAGCAGATGTGTTTCCAGAAGTGCTGATGATATGCAGGTTACCAGACCTTTTGCTAACATGAAACTGTCAGGAAGAAAATGTGACCTTTTTAGATTTTCACTAAACATTTGTCTTTATCTTTGACAGCTATTCTTAAAGCAGCTGGAAACGTGGAAGGTAGGATTTTTTTCGCTTTCAAATAATTTCAAATATAAGTGTTTAAATTTAATATTATTTATTTAGTGTATATATATATATATATGCACATATATATATATATATGTAATGTGAGCTGCATTTACTTAGTTGCCATTGAATTTTTTCCCAGCCTACTTTATCAGTATCTGCAAGACCCTTAGGGAACCCCAAGATAATCAAATACTTGGGTAAATTGATCACACCCTCTCTGATCCTCCTTTTGTATGGTAAGATCTATAAGAAAGACTGACACAGAGACATTATAATAGATTTTCTGCCAAGTAATTAAGGGAGAAATTACACTTTTCAAGAGTCTTATGTTTATTTGTGGCTACAGTTCATTAATTTCTATTTACTTTTTATTTATTTACAGATGCCAAAAAGGATAAAGCCAGTGGTCACCTGAATCTGTGGATACTTTTTACTCTGGTCCTCATAATTTTATTGGGGGTGGCTTTCATGATTTATTTCTTGTTCAAGATCAAAACTGGAAATGGAACTGGAAGAGAGGTGAGAAGGGGCAGCAGGCAGCTGGAATACAGCCGTGCCCTAACTGCAGGGGACAATGGAAGTGACAACAAAGAAAAAAATGAACACAGTGCTGTCTGATGGGATAACACAGCCAAACTAAATGGTTAAGCTGAAAAAAGTATAGCTGAACTAAAGGAAACCTTAGTCTCTCTTAGGTGCATGTAACTTTAACTATGAAGTAAAATTGGCAGTTATTCCTTTGGTAAGGTTTAGGAATTATTGCTGTATGCCCCTCAATAAATACTCTCAGGCATTTATTGACTTAGTACTGTACAAAATGGCTAATTAAGCAAGCATGGAAAATAACAGGACCAGTGGGAATTTAGATTTAAAATATATGGGTCACTTATTTAGGAATTTGTGACAGCATCACATACAGAGTCAAGACTAAAACTGAGCACTCTTTGCAGAGCACTCAGGCCTAAAACCTGCACTTTGAGAGTGTCTCACCATACTGTTCTGAAGCATGCACACTGTTACTTAAGGGATGTTTGGAATAAACAGAGATTTACATGAATTGTTTGTCCCCATTACTGCCCTTTTCTTATACCCTTTACACAAATATCTATTGTGATAGTATTATAAGTGAAATGCAAATACTTGTCCTTCATTCATGGCTTCAACTTGGATTTTGCAAAACAAATAAATCTTTGCATACAATCTTATTCTATGAGTTTGAATGCTTTTTATTAATTATGAACATGAGACTATATCAATAAACTATATATTACACAATAACATTTCAGTGTTTAATTAGCATGTGGAGATGATATATGGTTTGTTGAAGTAATGAGTTTTCTTCCTTTAAGAAGGGGTCTGACAGGAGCAGACATAGAAACATGAACAAGGCATATTACTAAAAAAGCCATAAATAAACTATAAAATAAAGTAGTTGTCAAATAAATTTTGGAAGAATGCATTCCTGGTTTTATTCCACTTGATCACTCATTTTAGCTACTTTAGGATAGCCTTTCTTACTATCCTCCACCTCTCTGATAAATGGATTGATAACTGGACACTGTGTCCATGATTCAGGCCAGTAAACAGTGGGGCACAAAACAGTGCCTTGCTAGTGAAATGTTTTAGAGATTTACTGAGATGATTAAGTTTTCTAGGAATTCTCTGTTGTCTGTGACATTCTGAAGAAAAAAAAATCTCAAAGTCTGGGAATAACAAATCTTTAGAAAGTGCATAAGAACTGCAGAGGAGACGTTACATGACATTGGACTGACAATTTGTAGATGTGGCAATTAAACAAAACATATTGCAGAGGATAAGGAATAAAGGCCATTTGTTACTCAAACTACTTTTAATGATAGTCCTCTGGAAAATACACTCTTTTGGTTTTTTGTAAATACTGAACTGGATTCTATGCTGTTTGATGGCTAATCATAAAGGCAAAGTAAACGAAAAGAATAAACAGTTAAAAAGATCCAACATAATATCATTATTTAAATATTTTATATTGCTAACACAACTCCAAAAACTCTGTATTGTGTGAATGAGTTTCTTCTATCTTATTAAGTGATGCTTTGCTCTTGCAGAAAATACTGTGAGATTTGTCTTCATAATAAAGGCAAGAAAAATGGGAGAAAATTTGAAAGGCAATTTCAGCTGAATTTCTTTCCTCCCTTTTTTAAAAAATTACTAAGGGATTGTACGTCATAGTTGTAGTTCATTTCCACTTAATAAATGACTGAAACTCACTTGTAAAATTTGAAAATATTCCTCTATCCTTGTCTCATTTATGCTTGGTACAAAAAAGAGAATAAAGTTCATTTGTACTTTGTGGATGAAATAATTTTGAAAGGCACTTTTTTGCCTGAAGATTTGTAAAGATTTGGATAATTTGTATTGGTTCTTCTACGATAAATTCACATAAAGTAACAGCACACTAGTTCTACTAGTTGATACACTGGATAGATAAAAGGCAGGTGTATGCATAGTACCCAGTTTGTCAAATCACCGAGCAAAATTAAATTATACTGTGGGAGTTAATTTTTTCATGCTGAAATAGTCAAAATTGCTCACTGCAGTAAATTAAATCAATATATCTTTTGCAGCAGTGAAGACCTTTCTGGCCAAGAAGTTTGCATGTATTTTTCTCTGAGTTTTTCAGGTATATATGTCTGACATTTAAGGTACATCAATTTAAAGTGCACTCCCTGGTTCCTTGTCTTTGAGGGTCAGAATGTTACAATTCCAGCAGAGAACCAAGAAAGTTAAAAATAATTCAGTGGAATGATCTTGAACTGTTCAAACTTTGCCATATGCCTTTGAATTGATGGAAACTTCACTTTCAGATGCAAAGTTTGAATTTTGTAATTATTTATAGATTTCAAAATACCACATGTGACAGGATATTTCCTTATTTAGAGCCCAGAGTATTCTCTTTCAACTAAAAATCTCCAAAACTGAGAAGGACCCAGCAACAACTGATTCTTTAAGGACCTCTACTGCAGCAATTAATTTCATCTCATCTCTTTGTGAACAAGAAGACAGAATGAAAAACTTGACCTTTTCTACAGTTTTCGTTTTCCTCTCATTTGTTCATACTGCTTTTCAGACGCTTGGTGAGTCTATTTTTTCCTATCCCCTGCAAAAGTGGATGTGAAAGCGGGCATCTTTGTTGTCTTGCTGCTTTCTCAGGATCTTTAAGATTTTCACATAGCTTTACTACTCTGCATTTCATATTTTCCTAATGGGAGTGGTCCACAGAAGTTTCCACAAGACAGATACAAAGATGTTGATTTACTTTTAAAGAGGGGTAATATCCAAAATGGGGTAAAACTGGGAATCAGAAGTCAGGACTGAGTCACGTATGTGAATAAAGATTGACTTTTGGGTACAACTTATTTGCTGGTTACCTTTGCTACTGTAAAGTAGATGGACTTCACAGTGTGCTCCATAGCACTGTGGAGTCTATATATGTGTCTATATATGTGACTGACTCACCAAAAAATGAAAAGGATAAAGGAATTAAATAGGATGTTGCATGTGTATCTCCTAGCCTTAGCATGAGATTGTGTGGGATGAGGTGGAACTTGTGGGTTGATGTAAGATGTAGCAACATGGCTGAAAAGAAGCCAGTGGAAAAAAGAAATAGAAATATATGAGCGTCAAGAACAGCTGTGGAATAGCTACTACAGCAGTAAGGGTGAGAGGGATACTTAAGGCTCTGAAGGTGGCCAAAGACAGATCACAGCTCCCTTTTTGAGTATGATGATAATGTTCAAAGATGTCTTTTCTTCATCCTTCAGTTCATTAGATTTGTGGAGTGGGGTACATATCACAACTTCCAAAAGCAGATACTGCTCCATGTGAGCTGTGACAGCACTACCCTGTGCAAAAGGGGGGTCTCCCACCTGCTCCGTGAGCTGGGAACCCAACCCAAAAGCAGAAATCTCACAGCTTCCAGCAGGAACTCCTATTATTAGACCAAACATTTCTTTAAGGGACAATAGCTGGTACTTAGGGGACTACACTAAGCACTTATTTACTGAGCACTAAGAAATAAAAGACTTTATAATATATAAAACTTTTTTCCCAAATGGACAAGGAAAGAAGAAACTAAATTTCAGCTTCAAATTTAGATTTGCAGAAGTGAAACTCCTATATATTACTGAGCTGGTCAAAGTAATACAGGAACCTTCTGGAAGAGCTCAGGAACTATTCTTTCTGTCATACCCTCCCAGAATATCCCAGATACTTCCTCCTCTGTTCACCACCCAACACTGGCTTGCCCTAACATCCTACACTTGTCTTAAAAATTTACTTTAGTGTGTGGAGAGGTATCTCACTGCCTCCTGTGAGTTATTCTCTCAGATGGATATGGCAATGATGCCGCATCTCTGTTTCCAGATATGAATTTGAGGAATAGAGGCCTGAAGGGCAAAACCTTGCCCTCCTGTTCTACAGGTCCTAGAATATTCCTTGTAGTCCAAATTTCAATCCCTCGTGACCCGAAGCCAGTGAGAGCTGCAGGCTACCTGACATTTTTAAGAGTGTGGAGTTGTTTGCCCGGGAGGACTCGCCTTGTGTGTCACAGCACAGGTGCAGTTCTGGACAGCTCTTCCCAGCAGGGCTTATTTATCTCAATGCATTCCTGCATCAGGCTGCTATAACCCTTTGGGAGTGTTAACTGTCTTGTGTGGCACTCACCATGCACAGGCATGCAAGCCCACACCTATAGGTTTTCAGTCTTTGTTCTTGTGACAATGTGATTTATTGTGCAAGCTATGTTGATTAAATTCTTATGATAGATGCACTAAGGATACTGGATCAAGGCAAGGTAACAAGTCACCATTACATGGTTTTCAATTCCAAAAAAATCCCCAAATAATAACAGAACATGTAAATTCCAGAAGGAGCAGACTCACAGAAGGCTCTCACTAACTGTATTAAGCACAAATGTGACCCCATGGAGATGTATGTCACAGGAGATAACTATATAATGCAGAAAAGTGATGGCCAACTTCTAAATTTTCAGTAAAGGTCTCTTTCTGGAAATCTTGTATGAAATGTGCATTTCAGAAGAAGATAAAATTCCATTAATCTGATCATATTTTTGAAGCTATCTTAATGTAGTTTATATGTTCTTACTCCTTTGTATTGTGTTCCCATATATTTTCTGAACTGTACTTACTTTTCCTCCCCAGATTGAAATGTGCCTTGGAAATATCATTTGATCCTTGGAAAAATTTGCAGCCTCCTGACATGAGTCAGATCAGCATAGAATAAACAAGCTCCCCTTACCATTTGCTTAGCCTAACCACTTATTCTGAATGTTTTATTTTACAGACAAGGAAATATTCTTAATATTCAATGAGGATACCAAGTTCTGTTTAATTGCTCAGAGTTCTGAGGCAGTCACAACAGCCTCTTGCAAGAAAAACAATGACTTACAAAAATTCAGATGGGTGTCTGATCATCAGTTAATGAGCATGGCATTTGCACAATGCTTGGGAGTGCCCTACAAGAGAAACCAGGCTAAAATTTCTCTGTACCCATGCAACAAGAAAAGTGAATTCCAGAAATGGGAATGCAGAAATGAAGCCTTGGCAATCCAAGGGGAAGATTTATTTCTCAGTGCTGGCAAAAAAAAGGAAAATATTGTGCTAAAAACAGGATCAGAGGCAATGGATAAATGGAAGATCTATGGAACCATGGATAATTTGTGTTCTCAAAGCCACGAAGGTAAAGTTTAAAGGTTATTTTTGGTGTTTTATTGAATCCACTTGTTTGCCATCAGAGATAGGGTCTTTTGATTTCTGCCCCCCTTAGCCTAACACCAGCTGTTCCCCCTGAGGCAATGATGGACTAGAGAATGATTAATTCACATATTCAGGCTTGTATCCCTCCATCCTGGAGAAAAACAGCTGCTTAGGTTCAGATAGAATGCACTATGTGCCAAAAATGTTCATATTTTTTGTTCTTTTAAAGAAAATGTGCATGTAGGTTATTTTAAATTCTTAGTGTTAATTGCTCTTCTCAGTGGTGTCTAGCAATAACACAATGGGCAGAAACCAAAGCACAGGAAGTTGAATTCCACTTGAATAAGAGGAAGA